GGCCATGGGAGGAGAGGAAGTACTGATACGAGCTACGGCAGGTGTGCACCTTGAAAAAACGCCATGCGGAGTAAAGAAGCCGTTGCAGGGGACCACGGGGTGGGTGATTCCACTGGTGTGACATTTCCAAGAGAGACAAACTGATGAGACAGGGAGGGTACTGGCGGCTGTCAGCGGGTTGAGGAAAATGGGGGTGACTGCTGAGGGCTATGGTGTTTCTTTTTGGGGAGAGAATGTTCTAAAATTGATAGCGGGGATAGTTGCACAACTTTGGGAATAAAAAACACTGAAATGTACACTTTATGTGGGTGACTGGTATGGTATAGGAATTATATCTCCGTAAAACTGCCATACCACTTTTTTAGAAGAGGAAGGGAGGTGGGAAGGTAGGGGAGGGGCGTTGCTGGCAGGGTCTGCGCAGGTCGCTAGGTCGGACGGGCTACTCTGATCAGCCCTTAGTTTCTCTGCATTGTAGTGGACTTTATTTAGAAACAAAAACAAAAACAAAACTTGTTGATGTATAACCAGTAGTCTGTTGGAGCTGGTACAACTGGTCTTTAGCCACAGCAACTTGGTGGCTTGTTATCAGCCATGGTAGAAAATTTTACACTAAGCAATTGGCAAATGCTACAAACAAGGGTAAGAACCAGGGCGAGAGGAGAGAGAGAGAGAGAGAGAGAGAGAGCGAGAGAGCTGGTTAAACATTCATCAGCATTACCACCGAAAATAATGCCCACACAGAGAAATACAGTGTCAGAAGTGAGCAGCCCTAGGAATTTTCACAAACTGAAAAACCCTGCGTGACCAGCACCCAGAGAAAGGAATAGTATCTGCACCCCGAAAACCACTCTTTGCAGCATCCACTTCGACTCCCCCTTCGGGTAAACACGACTCTGTCTTGTAACCACATATATTACCTATTGTTGTGCATTACAGAGAATCAAGGCTGAATTACTCCGAGTCTGGCTCTCGTACTTGACCTGGTTTGTGATACGCATCCATCCATATCCTTGTGGTTGGTTGCGCAGTGTTCATTCTCGTCACTGTGGACGTGGTGACCAAATTTACAGCCACTCTACTGTTGATGGACATTTGGGTTGTTTACAGGTTCATACCATCTTATATATCATGGACACTCTAGCACATTCTTTTGTTCGATGCATTCACATTCCGACTTGGGAGTCTGTGGGTCGAGGCCTGCATGTGGTCAGGGGCTTAACAGAGTCTCAGCCAACTTCACTTGGACTTTGCTCCTGTTCTCTCTCCTCTCTGACACCCTTCACTCCCTCAGCCTTCCTTACAAGCTGGCTCCCCAACCCGGCACCTTTCACGTTGTCGCAGACCCAAAAAGTGAGAACGTGGATGCCAGGCCAGCGGCACAAGTCTTGGAGGAAAGCAGGACAGCCTAGGTGTGCCTGCTGCCCCACGGGCCCCAGAGCTTTCTTACGGAGGCAGGGACAGGACGAGCCCCAGCTAGGGAAGGGGTTGCCTGGTATCCGGAGCTGCAGCAGGCCAGGGAGTCCTGGGGTCTGAGTTTTCCGAGTGGTTCCAGCTGAGCAGGAACTAAGCTTGCGCATTCACACAATGTGTTCTTGTGAATCTGGGTTCTGCGGCTCCATAGAAAGAGGCCCATTGTCCAGACGCCTGTTCACTGGGCGGGAGGCGGCATTGTTTAGGGCCAGTGGGCAGAGCCGGTGGGGACCCGGGGCTCTGGCTTTGACCTTTGGTTGGGTGGGTGCTCCCCATGCTTGTCTCACCCCTTTCCAACAGCCGATGCTCTTCTAGGTACTTCTATCGGGTTTCATGTGACCACCAATGGCATGTCGAGCATCCAGTAGATTTCGGTCTGATTTCTCACTTGTCACCAGGGAAGGTGACGTTCAAATTTCCTACCATTTTTGAGAGCGCGAGTGCCAACAGTTATTCTGTGCTACCACCAGTGAAGCGCCTCATTGTTACTTCTCACACAAATTCTGCGACATCAATACTACCATTATCCCACTTGGGCAGAGGAAGAAACTGAGGCCTGAAGAGATTAAGTCTCTGAGTCCGTGTTTTTCTGATTCCTAAGCTTGACTCCACCCGCCCCCATCCTGTCCTCTGGGCCCAGGTAACATGGCCATGACCGGCCAAACCCACGGTTGTCACCTTTAGGGATGGGCAGAAGCTGTGCTGCAGATGATGGGGACGCTGGGCCCTGCCGGCTGGCTCACACTTGCCAAGGAAGCCAGGGCCGAGCCCGGGAAGATGCACGTCTGGGTTTTTAGAGATGGGCACACAGAGCCTGGCAGGTGAGCGAGTTGTGTTGTGTGTGCAAAGCCACGGTCCAAACTCCGTGGTGCCTGCAGGGAAACTGGAGGCTCGTGGAATTTAGCAGTGGCCCCCGGTCACACGGGGAGGAGCTCTCAATTCCTGTCTGCTGGATACATTTGCTGGGAAGTGGTACAGGCAGGTGGGCTATTTCTGCCAAACTCCAAATCCTGTGTGTTTGTCACTGCATCCTAATAGCAAGAAAATGACAGCTGGATGTGTGTAGGAGCTGAGCCATAAGGAGGGGTCTCACCATTACTAGAAGGGGCTGTTGTGCAGAGGTCCTGGGCTCTGGGTGACACATCTTTCCGGGTCAATCCTAGATTCTTAGGAGCTGAGCAGTGGTCCACAACAGACCTGTGCCTCTGGTGTTGCATGGGATTCCCCTAGGAGTGGCCAAATGCAGATTCTTAGGCCACTCTGAGACTCCAGGGACAGGGCCTGGGAATCTGGTTTTAATGCCAAGGGCCCAAGTGACGCTGCCCAAATCAGAAAGTCAGCCCTTGTGTAGTTTCAGACCAGTGTGCAGATGACAAGTTAGCCATCCCTTGTCCTCAAATCTGCTTGGACCTATAAAGCAACATTTTAAATTCTGTCCCCAAAAGTGTGAAGCTGAACAAGGTTTGTCCCTTGGTGGTTTTGCAGAGGGTCAGAGTTTTTGGCCTTGGAGCCTCTGACTTGGGTTTGCTGTGTGGCAAGATCTTTGCAAAACAGCTGTGTTTATCTGAGCTTTAATTCCTGTTTTTAGGGGCTTAAGTGTCTGATGGATGCTCACTCGCTCACCGCTCTCTCCTGGTCACATCCTACAGGCAGCTGGAGACCCTGGGAGCCAGCTCGACCTCTGGCTTACCCCCTGCCCCTGCCCCAGGAGGCAGAGTGGTGTCCAGGACCACTCTGGACCACTCCTGGTGGGCCCTGCTGGCCGATGCCACGCCGTCTCTGAATGGGCACCATCATCTCATTCCATGGTTTACACTCCCTAGCCGGCTGACCTGGCCATAGGTGGCCTTGACCCAGTTTCTCTTCAGAAAGGACAGCAGGGAACAGCAGCAGCAGGGGCAGTCCAGGGTCATGGCTGGGAGCCACGTGGGTTCTGACCTGTGTTCATGTCTGGGCTTGGCCCTTCATGAGCAACCTGATTTTTGGCAAGTTACCTCTTAACTTCTCTGAGCCTCTGTCTCCCCAGACTGTGAGTGGGGGAGACGAGACCTCTACTGCACAATGCTGTCCACGAACTTGAACTCGCCACATGCCCTTTCCTCCTGCCAGGTGAGCCCCACAGCCATGCTACTTAGCTGCCCCCCTCCCCAGCCAGCAACCTCCTCGGGGACGGAGTGGAGGGCCTGGCTTCGCAACCACAGGCCTGGCTCTGTCTTAAGAGAACGTTTAGGGTTATGTAACACGGTTGAGCTGACCTCACCCTCACCCCAGGCTGCAGGCCGCAGCGGGCAGACCGCAGGCGGAGGGCAGGCTGAGCACATCTGTTCCATCCTCGCTGGGGGGCCGGGGGCACATCCCCGGTCAGGCACCCCTGCTCGAGAGGTGAGCCCATGGGCTCCAAAATGCCCGCCTACTGCAGATTCTGGAAATGAGGTGGTCATTCAGGACCAATGAGGACACGTGGGTGGGGTCAATAGGTAGAGCTGTGCTGATTAGCACCGTGACCACCTACCCTGCCACACACATGCCTGCACCGTGGGAGTGGGGGAGGTGGACGCAGGGCCAGAGAAGAGGAGAAAGCAGCAGAGGTAGGGGGGGGGAAGGGGAGGCTGTCATCAAGGCTAGAGAGGCTTGGGCTCACACTGCCGCCATGACTTACGGTGACCTGGGGCAAGTTACTTCAGCTCAGAAAGCGATTTCCCTGAATGTGCACCCAGGGGGACTTTCACCTCACAGAGGACAGAAGGTAGGTATAGGAAACACAGGCCCATCCACCGCAGGGCTGAGCCAGGGATCGGGTGCCTCCGGTGCCCTGCATTGGGCGAAGGGCTGTTGGGGCCCAGTGTTCTGGAGGGGCTGCTTCCAATGTGTGTGGGGGGAGGGCAAGTCCATTAATTTCCAACAGACGCTGTCCCAGGTTTAAAGCAACGCCGATGTCATGTTCGTGATTTTAGATAGAAGGCTGGCTACCCCTGGCCTGAGTGAGGCAGGTCGCTACATCAGCCTCTCCCAGAAACACCCCAATCGAGTCCCAGTTCCCACGCACAAGCCCACCTCTGGCAGCCACTGGGCGGGTTTGTGCTGCCTCGATGGGTGAACAGGCGTCCCCGTGGGCCCACCCCGTTGAAACAGGAGACAGCGGAGGGCAGCGGAGGGCTTGCTACCTCTCGCCGGCTTGGTGAGGATGAGATGACGCAGGCAGACCCTGGCCCTGGTGTGCTGGCTGCAGGGCAGCACCACAGGAACAGCCCCACGACAGACACTCACGCCCAGCATGTGGTCGGAGCCAGGCATCGCCGGAGCCCCCGGTGCCCAGGCGCCCCGCCCCGCGCACACACGTGGGCCAGACGCAGGCGGTGTGGAGTAAGAATGGGGGCGGACTGGAGGGCGAGGGCTGTGTTTCGGAAGTGGAGGAAACCGACACGCACATCCGAGTGTCCTGTGCACGGAGTCGCAGTGACTCGTACCATCCCTACACTCTCCAAATGGAAGGGGACAGGACAACTCACAAAATGGCCTGATTTCGGGTGTTTGGGATCAACTGAGAATATGTTTATTTAAAAGCAATTTTAAATATTAAAAAAAGTAGAAATGAACACATACAGTACTGAAAAAACTGTCACATTAAATACATGTGAAATGACGAGTGTACTGATGTTGGAGCGTAACATCCAGATGAGAATTCGGAATTTAGCTAGTGGCGTATGGGATTCCTATACAACAGGGGAAAAGTTCTAGGCAATAAAAAAATAAATAGCAATTGCTGTTCAACAGTAAAATAAGACACACACTATTTGCAGAACATACCTTTCCCCTCTGAGGAGAAAAAAAAGAACTAATTAGCTATTTTTTCATAAAGTTCCATACCTTCAAAATACTATATCATGTACAAAAATTGCAGATAGTGGCTCACTGAGTTTAAGAACAATATCAGATTTCAACTCAACCAAGATCAGCAAAGGTATTTATACCCAGTTTTCCTATGTCCCACAGTCAGCTGGGTTAGAGAAAACTCAGATTCCTGATGGAAAACAAAGACAAAACCCGGGGGGGAAAAAAGCATTAAAAAAATGCGTTTAACTGGCTGCAAAAAGGGATAAAGAACAGACTGATTCCAAGTCATTTCAGACATCTAGTTTATGCGGTTTTTTAGAAACCAGTTTATTTGGAGATCAGCTGAAAATACCACAGGCTGCAGAAGTGAATCGTTTTTAAATGCAACTCAAAAGATGTCACTGAATGAACCAGGACACGGAGGAACTAGGGACGGCGACTTCCTGTCCTGACACCCGTGTGGCGGAGGTCCCCAGGCTGGGGGCTGGCCGAGCACCAGCACGCTGGCCGGCCCCCGCCTCTGGCTGTGGGGATCACAGGTGCTGCGAGGCCACGGAAGCAACCGCTCAATCACTTTCCACTAACAGCTGAGAAGAGATGGTGCAGCGGGTCTGCCATGCGAGGGCTGTTAACTAGGTGGGCACCCCGAGTCCTCACAGTCACCACTCACGCAGAGCTAAATTAATACTCCCTGGGCACCGTGACGCTTAGAAATGACGATTTTCCCTAAGGGCTCGGTTGGGAGTTGTGCTTCTGGGAAATGAATGAGTCTCACTCACTGCCAAGATTATCTGCTGAAAAATATTAGTTTTCTGTGCGATTGCCAACAAAGTAGTTTAAGCAGATGTAATGCCAGACTGACACCTGAGCCTCAGAATCAGTGCAGTCCCAGCAGCGGGGGAGGGAACTGAAAATATTCTTTTCAGAATTCCGACGCACGCAAAGGGCCGAAATAGGCACGGCGTGCTCGTGGTCCGATAAACACACTGGGGTGAAGAGAAAACCAAGAAGGGGGGGACTCATCTCGGGAAGAGCTTTTTCACAGTGCAATTCACAGCAGCGTTTAAAACCTTGGTTATGAACTGACCCGAAGGCAGCACGTCTACTGAACAGAGCCGGAGACTGGAGAACTTATCTACAACCGGGTTTAGAAAAGAGTGGGAAAAAAGAAGAGGCTAGTTTCATTCAGCACCTGGGTCCTACGGCCGGGGAGCTGTGTGCAAGGCTGACTTTTAAACCTGTCATCCTCTTGAGTAATCTTTTACGAGTTTAAATGTGTCAAGAACAGAACTACGAAAATAACTTACAACTGACGCATGAGATGCTTTAACACATTTGAAGGATGCTAATTCTCAACATGATATGTAAATCCATACTCTTGAGAAAGCTAAAGGACTGACCAGAAACAAGTATTGTTGCAACCTTATAACTTCTGCTTTAATGGCAATCCGGTTTAAAAAATGTACAGTTCAACTGACCCGTACGTTCCTTTATAAAAGGCAGATTTCAGGTGGGCTTCTGAACGCATGCATAAGGTAGACAGGCTCCTACTTCCCGGCAGTCCTTGGTTCCTGGCAGTTGAACTTCACTCAAGGGGTTTTAAACTTTTGTCAAATAGTCACGAAGGCTATGTTATTTTTGCATAATGAGGTAAAATCTCAGGGGCGGGCACTCCTCAGACGACAGTATAAGTCCACTTGTCTAGACTCGCATGAGGCTGTGGGCACAGTAAAATGCCACCAAAGGTTTTGGGGTCAGTGATGATTTTGCGGAAGGAGTAACACTTAGGTTGCACTGAGCACTTTCCTGTAATAAATACCAGAGTCGGCGCGGGGAGCGATACGCGGCGCACACAGACGACTACGGGCTGGCCCGTGGCGGAGCTGAGAGTCCCGCCTAGTAACAGAGCCCACCTGTTTGCTCTCGTCGCATTTTCAGTGACATGATTCAGAACACTGTGTTGTGAGGAACACAGAGCCCACTCTACGCCTTTTGACGGCTGTGGAGACCACTTCCATTTGCAAGGCCAGCCGCTCCTCTGTTCCTGTTCGCTTGGGAAACAGCACAGACAGAGATGTAAGTGCTAGACGCCAAGGATGGCTTTGGCAAACCAGTACGGCGCGCTGGGTCCCAGGCCCCCCTAATACTGGCAAAGGCGGAAAACAACAGGGTATTTATTTACAACGAATGCTACAGTCCACTCCTGCACCCGCCCTCCGGGGGGTGTCTGCTCCGGTGGTGGCGGCTGTGTACACGTGTGCACAGGTGACGGGGCGGCAGTCTCGTTGAAGGGCGTGGACCATCTCGAGGTTCTGCTTTTTGCTAGTCGGACAGGATGTGAACGAAGGACACTGGGAAGACCCCCCTTCGTTCAGGCTGTCCTTCGATGTGGCCAATCTGTGGGGAGGAAAGGGAGGCGTGAGGCTGGAGGCCGAGGACAGCTGCCCCTCTGCCGCCTGCGGTGACCTGCAGGGCAGGCGACAGCACCCCACACGGCCCAGCACCGACAGCAGAGCGGAGGGCGGCCTGCGCGGTGCGCGGCGCTTTCACGCAAATCTCACTGTGCCCGCACGTCCACCCCACAAGGGTCCTCGTCTATTCACGGAGGGACCTGGGGAGCATGGGGCTGAAGGAGGTGAGCCAGTCAGGGGAAGGCAGGCACCACGGGATTTCACGCAGAGGTGGAATCCAGGGACCACAACAAACCGGCAAACGAAACGGAACCAGACTCACAGACACAGAGAACAGACTGACGGCTGTCGGAGGGGAGGGGGCTTGAGGGGCTGGGTGAAAGAGGGGAAAGGATTGAGCAATAAAACCCCACAACCCCCCCCAAAGAAAACCTCAGACAACAGAACAGTGGTCACCAGAGGGGGGGATAAATGGTGATGGAAATGATGAGACTTGGCGTGGTGAACACATCAAGTGGGGGAAAACCGAGAGGCTAGAGGCCTTTATCAACAAACATAATAAAGTTTGCACTTGGTTTAAAAGAGTGAAAACGGGACAGCGGCCGGGGGGGCAGTGGCGGGCTGTTCTGGGCCCCCGTGCCTGCTGGCCCACTGTCCACACTCTTGGTCGTCGGCGCACACTGCCTCTGCTTTGGGGCGACAGGGACAAGCCTGCTAAGCCCCGATCTGCACAACGGGGTGAAGAGACCGCTCCTCTCGGACGTGCCGTGAGACCACACAGGACACTCTGTCTGTGCGGGCGGCTAGGGACTGTGGGGAAGGGCGCTGTGACAGGTCAAGAGGACTGCGGCCGACAGCAATCTGACTGTCAGGGGCCAGAGCCTGAGGCCACGGTTTCCTGCAAAGAGCTTCTAGTCATCTGTCCCGCCAGCAGGAGCTGCTTTACGGAGAAGCCTCTGGTGAGAATGCACAACAAAACCGGCACACCGGCTGCCGGCGACGAACAGAGAGGTGGCAGCAGCACAGCTGTGTGTCCAGCCCAAGGCTGGTTCCTCTGTTTGCAGGGTTACGACCTTGGGCGGTCGGTCACCCAGGCCACTGTGCACGGCTTTCTCCTCTGGAAGGTGGAGTTGTGGTAAGACCCGACTTACCCACCCCACGGGGCCTGAGCCGGTGCCAGGCCTGTGAATTCACAGACAGCCCTGCAAGGCAGGGCAGCTACTGTCCTGTCTCTCAGAGGAGGAAACTGAGACTGACAGAAGGGGCTGGCTTTACCCAGGGCTACAGAGAAAGTGACTGCCTGGGGGCTCAGAGTCCCCCTCTTTGCCATGACAGGTTCTGGGACGGGCTCCGAGCCGGGTGCAGGCCCAATCCTCCTGGGGGCTCAGAGCCTCACCAGGCCCCGGCTTGGCCCTCCCGGCAGAGCGCGCAGTGGCCTTGTCATCTAGACCTCGGCCCCTGGATTCTCACTCCCACTCTCCTGACAGCCCCCCCCCCCCCCCCGGCACAGCAGCACGTCCAGCCTCCCCTTCCAGGCTCCCAGGTCCTGCCCATCCGAACGTCTCTCATGTCGCCAAATGTCCCTGGAGGACAAACTGCCCCATCTGGGAACTTTTGTTTCGGTCCAAGCGAAACTCGACAGCGGTGATCAAGGACCAGCCGCTGTCCAGGCCCAGAGGACATGGGCCAGAGGCGTATGTATGTGCACGTGTGCTTCTGAGCATCGGCAGGTTCCGCTGGCCCAGCTGTGAACCACAGGTCCCTTCTGGCAGGCAGAGCTGGTGCCCACTGGGCATTGCCAAGGGCCCCTGATGCCCGAACAGCCACTGCGTGAGACAGTGACACATTTCCTTGTTGAGATCCGGGGTCCACAGGAAAGAAGTTCTTACAGATATTCTTGAGGGATGTTCTAAAATTGCACAGGAAGGCAATTGCCTCACTGGGCAGACAGAGGCCTGCAGGTTGATGGGAGATGGAGTCCCGAGTGAGCCCTGGGCCCCTGGCCTGGGGCAGTGCAGATGACAACGAGCACACAGCCTTGGGGACTGGGACTGCCTGCTGACTAGCTGTGCGCCTGGGCAACGAGCTTTCTGAAGCTTTGACTTTGCACCTGAAAATCTAGAAAACACCTCTGGCTCACAGGCTGTGGTGTGACGAGGAGGGTGGGGGCAAAGCACATGGAACGTGAAGGCTCGTGACCCAGTTTCAAAGCTCCATGACTGTCCACCTAGCAGGTGAGACAGTGACGGAAGACACCTGGCAAAGGGCTGCTGGTAAGTGCCACCAGGGCGGGGTCCTGGTGCTCAGGGGCCTGGCCTCCCCCCTCCACAGCATGTGCAGGGCGCAGCTCGGTGCCGTGGGCACGCTGAGCAGACCCAGGAGGGAAAGCCTGGTGTGCGTACGTACCCACCACTCCTGGTCCTCCTCCCCCGTGACCACGATCACTTCGCCCTCGATGAAGGTCAGCTCGTCGTCGTTGTCCGCCTGGCAGTCGTAAATGGTCTTCACCCGCCTCACCTTATTCTTTCCCTGCAGCACAGAAACAGGGTTTTAGCTCCCAGGATGGAAGGAAGGAAAAAAGGATACACCGAGCTTGGGCAAGTGACAGAAGCTCCTTGAGCCTCCGTTTCCCCGCTGTGATTAGGGGAGCACGTCAGCCCTGTGCTCCATATTCTGTGACATCTCAAGTCCCTGTCCCTTCCTCTGGCATTGTGGCAGAGCCTGGCATGGGGAACAGGCACCCCCATTGTTTACAAGGGGAAGCAAACCACAGGGGCAGGGAGGAAATGGCTCTACCAGAGACGCAGAGCTCAGGGCCTGCCCCCAGCTCGGGGCTGCTCTCCTGTGACCTGGGAAGCAGTCTCGTCCCCCAGCTTCCTGGATCTGAGTGCCCACCTGCTGAGTGCTTCCTAGGTGCCGGCTAAGTGTGTTTAATCGCCCACAAGCACAGTTCCAGTATCAGCCCCTCTCTGTGCAGAGGAAACTGAGGCTCGGAGAAGGTGAGCAATTGGCCCAGGTCACGGTTACAGCGGGCACTGCAGGTGGGTCCTGAGCTGAGCTCCTGACGGGCAGGCCCTGCTCCACGCGGACCCTGAGCCACCAGGTGAGCAAACTCCTGGGCTTTCTATATGAGTTGTCCGCCCCCACCCCCGCCGCATCGCCCCCAGCCCAGGTTTCAGAGTGGGGCAGAGTCCACAAGAGCCTGCAAACACCCTGGCGCCTGCCCACCCACCGTGTTGATCTTCCTGGGCAGTGGGACGGGCGTCTCCGGCAGAGTGGGCGTCAGGTCGTTGGCATCCTCCGAGGCTTGCTTTTGGATGGCGTCTCGGGCGGGCACATTTGGGGAGAGATCCACTGGGTGTGACTTTGGGGCCACGTCAGAGAGCGGCTGAGTCTTGGGCGACATGTCTCCCGGCTGGGATTTTGCCAGCAGGTCGGTCAGCTGTGGCTTAGGGGGCAGGTCCTTCATCTGTGGCTTGGGAGGTAAGTCTGAGAGCTGGGGTTTGGGGGGCAGGTCGCCCAGCTGTGGCTTGGGGGGCAGTTCTCCTGGCTTCGGTGGCAAATCTCCAATTTGGGGCTTGGGAGCCAGGTCGGCCGGCTTCGGGGGAGCCAGGTCAGCGGGTTTCGGGGGCAGGTCCCCCGGTGGTGGCTTTTGTGGCAAGTCTGCCAGCTGTGGCGGTTTCTGGACGATTTCAGGTGGGATGTTGGCTTTATCCAGGGAGAGATGATGGCTGGTTTCCGTTTTCCGTAGTGCCACTGTGGGAAGCAAGCACAAAGAGGGAGGTCACGAGGCAGGAGGAGGTGGGGAGGCGCTGCTTCCTCCCGCTGGTCACCTGGAGGAGAGCCGGCCTAACACCCAGCATGGGCGTCTGGACTGGGGGAACTCGGGGGCTGACCTGGGCGCGTGTGGCCCATCTGTAAACAGAAAAGCTGGGGGCCTGGAAGGCACCCACACAACAACCCACGATTTTATGCCGCAGTTACATAGGCAAGGACGTCCAATCTAATGCACAGTTTAAAACCCACATCCATACACACAATACAGAACGGAGAAAACTGCAAGCACAGAGCTGCTCATCCCCAGAAGGCTGTCGCCTCACTGTAGCCATTTTAACTGTTTTGGTATTTTTCCTTTTTGACTTTTTCATGTATTTCCATATATAAAACTTCTATGTACTGTTTGGGCAACAGTATTCACCATGTTAATAAAAATTCTTTAGTATTAAGGCTTCTCCTCTCACCGCCCCCACTGTCCCTTTGATTGTGTTTTGGCGACACAGGTGACACAAGTCCATGTTGCTCATGAACGTAAATGGGACAACACGTTCCATTTGTCTGCGACTTTCCCTACTTAGTACGTTCGGGTGTGTTCCTGAGTCGGCCCCTTCTCCTCCTCCTCCACGCCGGGTGCACACCACTCCACGGCCGGGGGCGGGGGCTGCAGCGGACCAGCCCCTCGGTTCCCTGTGCTGCTCTCTCCACTAGAACTCAGACACGGAGGACAGGCTCCACCTCTTACTTTCTAGCTGTGTGACCCAGAGCAATTAATTACACAACCTCTCTGTAAAACTCACCTTCCTCGCCTCTAAAACATGCCTTACTGTCTGTAAAGAACTGGCCGGCAGGACCTGGCGGGCCCTAAGTAGTAAGAAGGTTCTCGCTGTTTCTGTCAGACAGGGTTCTTTGAGGCCAGGACTCATGTTCTTACTCATTCTTGGCGCTCTGGCTCCTGGCACAGGGGCCAGTTACATAGGCAAGAAAACAGCTGACTAAGCGCACAGAATGAAGGAGTCAGAGAAAACCAAACTGTCACCCTGAAAATCCAACATATTCAGAAAGGTATGCTTAAAGTTAAAAAAAATTAAGATAAATCAGTGTGGTAAATTGTCATGAACTGTACTGTGGCTGTTCCCACCCACGGCCTGCCCAGCTCCCTCTCGTCCCAGGGATCTCAAATTCAAGGGCATTGCTGTGCATGGGCTGGACCTTGAGCTTGAGCTGATGTGGCTCGATGAGCAGAAGTCTGAGGCAGGGAGCGACTGGGGCAAACCCGGGGGGATCCCCCAAGGGAGTTTGCCTGGACAGCCATACTGTGAGTCATACTTCTGGGGGAACAGAAACTGAGCGGAAGTGCTAGGCAACCATAACCCTCAAAATATGCAGCTCTGATCCTACGCATTTATCCAAATAAGCTGTCAAAGCCAGACCCTGAGATGTCTGTGCTGGGATGCTCAGCACGGCATGCCTCCGGTGAGGAAAAAGAAAAGCAGACTTATGCAGCCTAAGTAACAGACACTGCTTCACACGGTGTGGTGCCAGACGATGGAATACTATGCAGCCAGTAAAAGCTTTCCTGTTATGCAATTCACGTCATGGCAAATGTTCCTGATTTACCCAGTGAAAAACCAGCTTAAATGGAAACTTAACCAAGTATAAACCAGAGAGTAAAAGGAGAGATCCACTCGTTTATCCTGGTGGGAAGACTTCAAGGGATTTGCATTTTCTTGTTTTTTGCTTATCTGCATTTTTCAAATCTTCTGGAATGAATGAATATCACTTTTATAATGAGAAACGAAATAAGGCGAGGCAGCCTCTTCTCTAGAAGAGCCTCCAACCTTTGCTGTTCTGCTTCCCAGCTGGGTCTGAGTTCTCCCCACTTCCACGAAAACTCCTCCCTGGCCTGTACTCACTCTGAAGGGCAGGCAAGCATGCTTTCCCCACTGGACACTGGACTACACGGCGTCCTGCTGGGGGGGTGCCGCTGGCACAGAGTCCGCTGCTGGGCCTTGGGTGCACGGCTGAGCGGGACCCCCCGACTGTGCTTCCCCACCACACCCAGGCCCTTGGAGTCGGGCCCAGTGTCGGTCAAGGGAGTGGAGGCCAGCGCGGGGCAGTATTAGGAGGGAGGCAGGTGGAGGGTCCTGTGGGGGGCACGTGATCAGTGGTGACCCCATGAGCTAGATGGCGCAGACTCCAGAGAAGTGGGAACAGGGTTGTGAAACTGGGCTCCAACTTATGAGATCAGGCGGCCCGCTGGGCAGAGGTAAAAAGCAAGAAGCCCCACGACTTTACATACAGACTCAGTAAACCTGGGGGAGGCCTTCCTTTGCATTCCCAGGAGAATGCACGCAGCCACCTGGGACTCCCCTGGTCTTCCTACCCCGGAGCCAGGCCCAACCAGTCCACATCCCTCCAAAGATGCCAGGTGGCTGAGAGATTTTGGGAGAGTGTCAAATTCATGCATCCCTAGTTTGGCTTCTGGGGTCAAAGGTCTCACCACTGGCATGAAACCCAGGGAGTAGCCACAAGCTCCTCTGGGCCTCCGTCTGCACCTAGTATGGGCCCTGCTGACCTTGTGGGCCTCCGTGAGGGTGGACGGAGTGAACCAAATGCCCCCGCACTGCAACAGAAGGATGGGTACTGTCATTTCTGCTTGATAGGAACGACGGACAGTTCGGTCTTACCAATGCAGAGCTCGGCCAGAATTACCCATCTGGTCAGAGAGTGGGGTGTCGGCCCAGCCAAGCAGCAGCGTGAGAGACACCGCTGTCTTCTCGGCGAGCATGCGTGTCTCCACTTCGCGTGACAGACGCCATCCCTGGGACCCACCAGCTCGGGGCACCGGGAAGCAGGACCCCCTTCGTCCTGTCAGAACCTCGGGAAGTGGGCATCCTTGTCCCATGTGTGGGTGAAGAATTGGAGGCTCGGGAATGGAGGGCTGGAACTGGGTCCCGTCTCCCTGATTAGCTTTGTGAAGGAGAAGACATGGGCCCCAGGGAGTCTAATGATGAGTCTTTTGAAAGAGTACTTTTTTAGGGAAAACGAGGTGCTTCGCTGAACACACAATCTGAGATTATCACCATGCTCTTCACTGAACACATTTATCAGGCAGTCCCTTCACACCAGGTGCCGCTTCAGGCGTCTGTGACCAGGACAGACAGAAACACGTCCCCGCAGAAGGCACGGCGACACTCTCAGCACACGTGGAAACTGGGAAGAAAAAGCTTACCTTTCTGAGGTAGTTTAGGAAGAACTCTTGGACCAAGTGCAGTCTTCGCAGAACCGGTGCTAATTAATAAATAAAAATCATTTAGGAACGGAAAAGTGCTAAGATATCAGCAGTGATAGATCACGCAAGGAAATCCCAGGTGTTTACCGAACCACCTAATAACCTTTCCATGTTTCTTTAGCTGAAGGCCACAGTCTCTCTCCTGTAACCACAGGTGTGCCCGCCAAGGAGGAGAGTGGAAGGGTGTATTTGTGGGACTCGGGCCACCCTTCCTCCTTGTGAGACCTCGGCCCTGGGCAGTGATGTCTGTGGGAGCACTCGGCATTCGAGACTATGCCCCAGTGCAGCACAGAGAAGTACCTCATCTCGTGTGACCCCACAGCGTGACCCTCGCTGCCCTCATTTTCAGATGGGGTGACCATGGTGACAGGCACAAGGTCCCGAGGCTGGCCAGTGGTGGACACGGGAATCCAGCCCCAGCTCTGTTGGACTCCACACCCCTCGAATCCTCCAAAGGGAATGGCTGGGGCGTCAGGCCACCATGTCCTGGAGCTTTGCCTCCTTCGGGAGGACATGTGAGTGAGCAGGGAACAGGCCCAGATCCCCAGGACAGAGGTCTGCTAGTGTCCTCTGAATAGTGAAATGTTAACCCCCACACCTCGCCACCACTGAGATGCCAGCGCCGCAGGCGGCATCTGTGGGGTCTGTTGGAACCTGATGTTTCCCTCTAACAAGAGGCTCCTACTACTCTTGGGACACAACAGTGCTGAAGACCCCAAAAGCAACAGCAGCCAAGTGCCCGCGTCTATCTGCCAAGGGCTCTCTACAATCGCCCACTTCTCCTTTTCTGTCTTTCAATGTCCTAAGAACTGGCTGTTTTCCCTTCTATCCCAACTGCATTGAAAAGCACAGGGAGAGCCAAACCAACCAAACGGAAACCGAATCAGAGAGAGGAGGGCGTGCCTGTCCTCCCCCCCCCCCGGCCTGCACGCCCCCCCCAGGATCCCACTGCTGGTGAGGTACAGCCACTACTGAACTGGAAATGGTACGTGCCAAAGGTTTTATTTTTTATTTTCTGATTTTTTAAAAAAGCTATTTATTTTTAAAGAGAGAAGAGGAGGGGAGAAGAAGAAAGAGGGGCAGAGAAACATCGATGTGAGAGAGAACACGGACTGGTCGATTCTTTGTACACACCCTCACCAGGGACTGAACCCGCAACACAGGTACGTGCCCTGATGGGGAATCAAACTGCCAGCCCTCTGCCCAGTGGAATGACGCCCAACCAGCTGAGCCACGCTGGTCTGGGCCATGCCACAGGGTTTTGCTTCAGACGTGTTTGGAGTGCTTTCCTAAGGTCCTGCCAGGCAGGGTGCCAGGGAAGGGAACTTGGGGACAGGGAGCTTAGAGAGCCAGGGGTTTGAGTCTGGTGCTGAGACCGCCACTGCTTAACCTCTTGGGCTGCCTCCTCGGTGAGAGGAGAGGACACAGAGACGCTGCCCCCAGCAGAGCCAGAAAGACTCGCCACCAGGGAACTGGGAGAGTCACACTTTTATGTTTGAAAATCTCCGGGCTGTCAGATTCACAGAAGGCTGTCTTTCCATTCATTCCCAAGGCTCTAAAGTGGAGCCGGGAGGGAAAGGAACAAAACGCAATGACTTGATTAAAAAAGTTAAAAATTAAAACCTCATTCTGACAGACCGTGTGACTCTGGGACATGCGGTTGGGGCCCACCTGGAGCCCAGGTCGGGGAGAACGGTCCACTTGCAAGCTCCGTCCGCAGAGCTGCCAGGCCCGTGGCAGGGACATGGTTGGCGGGCCACACCTGGGGCGGACTGTCACTAAATCCCGTTTCTAAAACTCTGTCCACCATGACTACCCGCACAGGAGGACAGAGCTGGCTTACCTCGACTGCTGAGAAAGTCCCTCGAACTTGTTTGCGGTCTTGCTGGATGATGTTGGACCCATATCGTTACCTACAGGGAAGAGCGGATGTAAAAAAGTGCGTCCTGAGAAGGGGAAGTGGAGTCGGGGACACGGGATTGTGCAGACAGGCCCCCAAGGTTCCAGCATTTACAAGACTGAGCCAGAAGGGTCCCTGGCCAGGAGAGCCCAGTCTCAGACGAAACACACAGCCCACAGTGGGTCGTGTGCAGACACGGCCCTCAGTCACTTTACTCCTCATCATTCATTCAAATGTTAACATTTACTACGCACCTACTATGTGCAGCATGAGCACATAGCAGGAGGCACAAAAGCAAACAAAATGCCACTGCTCTGGCAGAGGTTCAGGCCAGGGAGATGGACACTACAAACCACACCAGTGCCGCGGGGTAAGCTGGGTGCTTCGAGAAGAGGCAGTGTCCAAACTGGCCTGGTGGGAGGGCAGGGAGGTCGTCTTTGGGGGACGTGGCCCCTGAACTGTGCGGCGCTTTCTGATGGGGGAGTACCAGAACCGGACCGTGTGCTCTGCCCAGAAGGTAAGAACGCCGGGGGCAGTAACAGTGGCTCCTCTGTGACCCGCTCTACGTGGGGGCAGCGCAGGGCGTTCCAGGCCAGGCTGCTGGGCACCCAGGAGGAACCCAGGGAGCCTGCAGCTGCCACTGGGCTCTGGAAACCCAAGTGTCCTCCTTCGGCACAGCCCTTTGCTACCCCACCGGGACGCCCGTGACCCCCGTGACCCTTCCTGGGTGGGGCTGGCTGGATGGGGCGGCTCAGAAACCGGAGGGCGGATGGAGCGGACAGGGCTGAGCACACTCCCTGCCTGGGCTGCCTGCTCCAGGGGCCTGATGCTTTTCTTCCTCACAGTAATGTGAGGGCCTGGCACCGTCCTCATTGGAAAGACGAGGAAACAAGGTCAAGTGAGCAAATGGCTCCAAGTCCCATGGCTAGATGCTGCGCCTGGACGTCCTGGCCACACCTCTGGGTGCTTTTCCTGACCCATCACAACTCCCCAGCAGTAACACCGACAAAGGCAACTGCTATTTATTCAGCACTTACTCCAGTAACTATGTTCACAAGATGCATAAAAATAACTACACACAGAGAAGTGAAGCCAACCCCAAGGTCAAGTAGCTGGTAAGGGTCAGAGCTGGGACACAAAGCCAAGCAGACCACCTGCAGGGTCTGGACTAACACACCAGAGCCTATCACCGCCTGTCCCTCGAACCCGCTGGGCAAGGAGAGGCTGGTGGAAGGCGAGGATGGGCTCCTGAACAGAATGTTCTCTGGTCACCTACGGCGACTCTCCACCCTCCGAAGGCGTGTTGTTGGTGGCTCTCTAACTTAGCCCCCTCTGTTCCCTCTCCCTTCAGTATTCATCCCTTCCCACTAGTGGCAAATTCTCATGCGACTCTCAAAGAGCATCTGCAAAGCCATTTCTGAGATTTCCTCCCCAGCCGGACGTGCCTGCACCCGCTGACTGCAGAAGAGTGGCTCAGGGTGCAGGTGTGGGAGCCAGAGAGGCCTCGTTCCGCGTTCCAGCCGGACCACTGACCGGCGGGTCTGAGCTTGGACACCATGGCTTTTTCTATGAAGCCTCAGTCCCCATCTAAAAAATGGGAACGAGAGTCCCCACCCCACTAGAGGGGTACAAACATTACAAGAAACTCTGGAGGGTGGAACACAGCGCTGGGCCCAGGGAGCCTGACCCAGCGTACTCGGTATCATTCGCAGTTCTCCGACGTGGGATGCAAAGTAATGGGATCCATTTACTCAATGGATGCGCATCTCAGAGACAGGAAGTCTGCCTTGTTCGTCTTGAAACCCCGCTTTCTAGCCAGTGTCTGGCACGGGCAGCCACTCGATGCCCCGTGAGTGGGGACAGGACCTGCAGCACCAACTCTGCCCTCTGCTTCACTTCCCTCACACCTGGGGAGGCGCCAGTGGCCTGGCAGAAAGGAACCTTCTCGCACTCCCAGTGGGCCAAAGGGAGGAACAGTGGTTTAGAGAAATTTCTGAGAATAGGATAGCATTAGAGGGAGGAGCAAATACACAGAAGCAGCTCAATCCTATTTTTCTCATTGTGCAATTTGGAAAAGGAGCTGGTGTAACACAAAGATGTGTTGAGGAGAGCTGAAGACAGGTGCTGGGCAGGCAACGGAAAGCTGTGGTTGCTGGCTTCAGCTCAGAAGGGGGCCAAGAGTCTGGGGAGACAGGCAGGTACTGGCCCAGCATGACTGGCACAGAGGCTCCAAGAGTCCTCTGGAGCAGCCAAGATCAAAAACCAGTTCTCGAGTCCCTGGATTCACGACACGATACGAATCATTGGAGCTGGATGTCTGTGGTCTTTGAAATCGTTAGTGAACCAGGGACAACAAACAGTCCCTGTCTGACAGGATGGCTGTGATGGCTAAATAGTGTGTGGACGAGTGACCGGCATCTGGCACCTCCTAAACGATCTATGGGTGGCAGAAGCCATTATCATTTCTATGACTGCTTGCAAAATGGGGTTTGGGTCTGGGGGCAGCAAACATGAAAACACTGGGTCGGCCAAAAAGTCCCTGTAGCTTTTCCCCTCCGAGGACGGCCCTAGCAGCGCTCACCTGTCTTTGACTTCACTTGAAACAATTTTGTTACATTGTACTTCGACAGCTGTTCTATCAAGATGCATTAAAAAAAACTTACCAAAACTGGTGAATTACTGTGTGGCCATTTTAATATTGAAGATGGGAGAAAATAGGCAACATTTTTGGGCACATTATGCTTTACTATTTCAAGAAAGGTAAAAACACAACTGAAATGTAAAAAGAGATTTGTCCAGTGTATGGAGAAGGTGCTGTGACTGATTGACTGTGTCAAAAGTGGTTTGTGAAGCTTCTTAGTCCTATTGCCATTTTGGCCAAATAATTCTTTGCTGTGGGGCTGTGTTATGCATTGGAAGGTGTTTAGCAGCGCCCCTGGCCTCTACCCACTAGAAGCCAATAGCGGGAGATAGCCAACATACTCAAAATACCCAAATCAATAATGTTACTGGTGAAAATAAGGTGTCTTTTATTTTATAGAAAAAACTAAATGGCCTTTCTAGCCAACCTAACATATTGGAAAATCCAAGAAAAGGTAAAAATACGGAAATTTCTAACCAAAGGCTCTTGTACAAGCCAATATGACTTCCAATAAATAAGTATGCATGCCTCAGATCAGACATTTTAAATATTAAGACTTTTCACCTGGAAGGTCTAGCCTTGAAATATGAGAAGTGAATGAAATTGTGGGATAGTTTTTCACCTATCATTTACTCTACAACATTAAAAAAGAGAAGATCATAAAACTTCAAGTCCCAGTGGCCAAAGTGAGGAATCCAAGTGATTTCCAGAGGTCACTCAGCCAAGACTGGTGGAACCTGGACACCAGAGCTCGGGCTTCTAGAACGTGCATTCAGTGCACGTGTGGTTTCACACACTGGGCGCCACAGATCCTTCTCTGAATTCTTGCCAGAGGATGGAGGCCCCGGGGGGCACGCTCTCAGGTATTAATCACCCGACTCTCAAGTGTGAGAAGAGGATTAATCACACGGCCTCCATGAACTGATAATCAATTGGAGTTTTTTGTTTGTTCCTGCCTGTAATGACCTTAGTGTCAAATTGGTAGTCTATTTTTAGTCACTGTTTGTAACTGTGTTACATATTTTGTGATGAGATCACACTTTTGGACTTTGTTACTTTGCTACCTATATTCTCCTTTTGACCTCATTTCCTCATTACCTTTATTTAAGTTGTGTTAAAATGTGTTGCTCCGTTAAAAGTAGGTGATAAGCAAATTATCTGATCCCCAAAGGTGAGATTTAATGACATGCCACTTCAGAGATCAAAGTCCCCACAAAACCCAGATCTGCCCAGAGGCCTGTTTGTTTCCTGTTCAGAAGCCTGTCTTGGCTGCCCCCCCCTTCCCGAGACAGATGGCCGTGGGACTTCAGGAATGTGATGCAGGGGCTATTTCGGGGGCTGCGGACACTGGTTCTGGCAGGGAGACAGCCTGGAGCGGCCCTCCCCGCGTGCCAGGGCGCCACACCGCAGATGGACAGGGAGCCGCAGCCAGGTGGAGAGTGCGGACCTGCCGGGCCAGCTCCTCCCACCTCCGCACCATGGAGGGAGACAGCAGCGTGAGGTGGGGATGGCCCGTGGCATCCCGGAGCTGCGCCTCGCGGGACGCTGAGGGCCCGAGGGTGGGCGTGCAGTCTCCCACTGCCCAGCCGGGAGAACCTGCTGTACGTAATCTTTCTGAGTCCCAGTGTTTCCTACCAGGTGGATGTGGTCAAGAATCAGGCAAGTACTGTTAACCAGCCTGTTTTACACCTGGAGGAACTGAGGTAGGAAGCGATCCAAAGATACTTGATAAAAGCCTAGGGCTGGAGTTGGCTTAGAATCTAGGCATGTGACACAGGGCCACGCGGGAGCACGATGCTCCACAGGGACAGGCACAAGTACTGGCCCTGGGGAGGAGTTCACGGTGCGCAGGGCAGGTCTGAGAGGCGAGCACAGCCGCCATGACAGTCCTGGGCCACAGGGAACACAGAGTGGGCGGGGTGGTGGTGGACTGGGCGTGGCCTGTCCAGCAGATCCTGGGGCAGCAGACCTGGAAAGACGACTCAGCATCGCCACACACAAGCAGAGCGTTCTAGGCTGAGGTCACAGGGTGAGCAAAGGCTCGGCTGGATCTTAGGGGAAAGAACGCAGTTTGGGAACCAGGGCACAAGACAGGCAGGTCCTATTTCGGGGATCAGCAGGTCAGGCCTGGGCAGGGCCAGGTGGCTGTGCCTGTACCACTTCTCAAACCTGGTGCTGATGGCAGGGGGCTCAGGAGGTCAGGGAGCACCGGGGATGGGGCTGCAGGAAAGGCTGTGGGCATCAGGTGTTGCCGGGAGTCTGCTGCGTGGAGGGCTTTGTTCACACCCAGTCTGGCCCCCGCCCCCGGCGTCTGGAACAACGCCAGCGGCAGAGAGATGGGGACAGAACTGAGTGGCAGTCGTCTGGCAGACAGCACAAGGACCAAGATCAGGACGACACGATCTGCCCGTGGAGGTCCAGCTGCGTGTGCCCATGACTGCCACGGCCTGTGTCTGCCTTCGGCTGCCTTTAAGTGTGTGTCATACATGTGCACAAGCCTCAACACAGGCATGGCCCTGATCACCCCATGTGGGGCGGTCTGAGTGTGACCACCAGAGTCAGTGACATGGACAACTGTCACTCTGGATGCAGACAGGCTTTGAGTCTTGTCCCTGCGCCCGGCTGTAGGTGCGAGGCTCACACTGGGGAGAGAGCCCAGCAGACGGCTCGGGGCCCACGGCCTCGAGAGGCTTGAATGCTCCCGGCTGGTGGCACTAACTCGCTCCAATCAAGTGGCAGCTCTGTTTAGAGAAAAATGCCCTTTATCCACAAAAATTCAAAAACCAAACCAAACAAACGAAAGCGCACCAGCTGCGGTCCGACGGCTGAGGGAGGTGAGAAAGACCAAGGAAAGTGAGGGTCTTAAGCCAGGAAACAGACCGGTGGCCAGTTTCACTGTGGATGGCCTGCGCCTGCGAGGGGAACAGGGGCTCTGCACACCTGTCACCGAAATAAAGGCCGATTAAACAGAAGCATCGACGTTTAGTGAAATCTGAAGAGCAGGCTACAGTCTGTGCTGTGAAAATCTGCACGGGAAGCCGGTGACCGTCAGGGAACGTCCTTTGGGGAATGTCCCTCTGGATGAAATCGGGGGCTGCGGAAGGCCCTGGAGCACAGCCTCTGAAAACGCCAGGACCACGGTGGCAACGTGCCAGTGTGGCGCCCTCTGCTTCCTCCCTGGCTCGTCTCGGCGGGTAGCTAGTCCCTGAACACCCGTGGCAAACGTCGCCTGCTCTGTGGAGCCTTCTCGAGCAGGTCCCTGCAGTATTTGGTGGACACGTCAACTCTCAGAGTAAGGACGCTCCCCTGACTCCTTCCTCACCTGCCCCTGGCACCAGCCCCTGAGCTCCATGTGGGTGTGGACGCCCCGACAACAGGCACCTAAGGATGCCGAGTGGCCACACACACAGACGCAGTCGCGCACACACCTGGGCCTTGCATTAGCGGACAGATGGGTGTGCCAATTTGCAAATGGCGGTATAGCTTTTCCCCAAAACTCCGGTAACTCAGAACACCTGGTAAGGGCTTTCGGGGAGGCCTTTCAAAGCATTCAGCTGATTTACCTGTCAGCCACAAGTGAAAAAGCCACAAGGAAACCCCCTGGAAGGAGGGCATGACACATGCAAAGCTGGCGTCCCTGTTGTGCGCAAGGACTCTGCTGGGCGCTGGGGACACGCTGGTTCTTGAACCTAACTGCTGACAGGCTAGTGGTGAGCTTTGCTCAGCCAAAAAGGTAGACAAAGATGGAAATTATGTTTCTCATGGAGGGAAATCTGTGATTTGTAGTCAGTGTCACTGGAACGGTTAAATGCACCCTCTCTGAGTAGGTTTACTTATCCTCAGGTGACCACTGAGTACCTGCTGTGCCCTGGGCTCCATTCAAGTCCCTGCAAACAGAAAGGAAGCAGACAGACAGGGTCGCTGCTCTCCTGGAGCTTAGACCAAAAACCAAAGACAAGACACGTGGCAACTGGGACAGCGGTCTGGAGGACACAGGTGGGAGGAAGCGGCGTTAAGAGAGGAGGGCCAGGGACGCAGACAAGCAAGCCAAGAAGGTGGGGGGCCAGTGCAGGAAGGGCTGTGAACAGCCCCAGGAGGAAAAGAGTCTGATGTGCCCGCCAGGTGACAGACAGCTGGTGTGGCAGGAAAGGGTTGGGAGATAAGAGCCTGACCAGGTCCCCTCTACATCCTGGGGTGATTTGCATTTACCTGAAGCACAGGGTGAGCACTGAGTGTGAATGGTTTATCTGCTAAGGAAACTGTTCTGGCTGCCCTGAGCAGAATGAAAGACTCGCCTTTTCTGAGCCTTGGATTCCTCATCTGTCAGTGAGGCTGAGGCTGTGTATCTCACGGAGCAGACACTGTGACTGAGTGAGATTTTGTGGGAGGCTGGTGGACTAGCACAGTGTCTGGTGCCTGGGAAATGCTCAGCACCTTCGTGTTGTTATATAGTTTTTAAATGGCCCTACATATTTTTCCAGAATGTATCTGGCTTTCCGCGGCAACACGGCATTCTCATGCCCCGCCCCCCTGGCGTGTGCCCAGCCTGCTCCGTTTGCTGCGTGTGCGGAGTGTGCACAGCACACTGAGCCCCACATGTTGGCCGGCCCCGACTTCAGGACGACTTACCCCAAGGAACTGCGCCTTTGTTTGAGGGCCCGTGAGGTAGTGGGCTGGGGGGGTCAGACAGGGTTCTCTTGTGTCCAGGTGGTGGGGGAGGAGGCCGCTTCTTGGACAGGGTGGAGGTGCCACTAGAGGTCTGGGTGCTTAGAGGGAGTGTTGAAGGTGGGCCAGTTGGACCTAGAAGGAACCGAATGGGGCAGGAAGATTAATCCCGGTCTCACAGCGCAGCCAGTAAGCAGTCACTTCCCCACATCGAAGGTGGCAGGGCACGGAGAGAGACAACAGCACAAGGCTGGACGTGCCAGGCCCGGCAACCCAGGGACTCACACAGGGTTCGTAAGGACTGTCGGGGGGGAACGGGACAACAAAGGAAAGGCGCACGTGTGCTTCTAAGAAACAGGACGCCATGCTAATACGCTTACATCACTTAGGTGCTACGGGAAAAGAGAACACACGCTTTAAACTGGTAGGGCACTGGGCTCATCACGGGGTCCACCGAGGAAGAAGGCACCCGGCACTGCCAGGGAAATCAATGGAGCAAGAGCGGGGTGCGGGCCACGGCTCGACGGGCCGCGGGGGAGACCGGAGGCGTGCACAGGACGTGCCCTTTCTCTCCACGACAGCGTTTCCCTTTAGTCGGCGAACTGGGCCTGAGGTTTTTTTTTTTTTAAACAACTTTTATAAACAATGAAGGATCTAATGGAAAGAGCTACTTGGGGAAAAAGAGAAATGCAAAAACTCTTTTTCCCTTCAATTCTGACTATTGTTCTGGAAATCAAAAACCACCTAGTATATGGAAAGCCTGAACAGGTCATATTGATGTCTAGAGAATTTTTAACAAGACTCAACTTACTCCATAGGTTAAAACTGGATAGCGGTAATCCTACTGTTACACATACCACACACACACACACACACACACACAGTACTGCAAAAGTTGACTTTTTTGAACTAAGGAAAAGAGTTGGTAAAAACTGTTATGGGAGCAGTTGTTAGTTCTGTCGGTGCAAAGTGGCACTGACGTGGCTGGTGTGTGCCAGGCACAATAGCTGGACACTTCAACACACGTCTGTGATTCTCACTGGGATAACTGCTTCCACAAGCATTAGAAGAAAAAAAAAAGAGCGAGAAACAAAGAAAAGCTAAGAACACCATCACATCAAATGTTTAGCACAGGGGGGTAGATACCTGGTGATCCAGAAAGGCTCCAAAAGAGCTTTCTACACTCTGTGTGTGGAAAGAAAAACTTAATTATTGCTGGCCTCCTTCTTTCATATAATAAGCTCTGCTATTTCCCACTGCCTCTCAAAGACAGCCCGGTCTTGGAAGTAACTGCTGTTAATCGCGTGAGGATTCCCACGCCAGCCTGGTGCTGGCTACCCAACTTGTCTGCTCTGAGCTGAGACAGTGCATGGGAGAAGCCTCGCCATCACCCCAGTCAGCACCTAGTCAGGACACTCTCTGAAACTACTTTATTTTTGTAACAGCGAAGTCATTATCATTACAGCCCTGCACCTGTATAACGCTTTCTGGTTTTCACAATGTGTCCATATATGGAGTTTCCCTTGATTTTCATCACGACGCTGTGAGGTATGTGGGTGGGGGGCCTGGCATCATGAGAAGTGACAGCCATGTGGAGACAGATAGGAGCTCACTCCGTCATGTGACGCTGCTGTTCCCAAAAGCCAGGGCAGCATTTCCTGGCTTGGCACACAAGAAAGACAGCAACAAATGCTCAAGAGGAAACGTAACTTTCCTCGTGGAAATGAACGAAGAGTATGGACAGCAGTGAGTTTCTCCAGCAAGTTCATCTCTATCACCACCTAGGGACTGGCTGAGGCACTGCATCTGAAAGGTCATTCAATCAGTTCCAAACTCCGCCTGGAAACAAAAACTGCCAGACAAAATGCTCACGGAGCAATGTCTTCACATCAAAGTTGTGCGTGCACGAGATGTCAGGAGTGATCAGACCAGAGCCGGCCTGTGACCCCAAACCAAGCAAAACCACGCTTCCAGAACCATCGTTTCAGCCCGAAGGGGTTAGCTAAAGCTCCACCTCTCGCTGCAGGCATCCGTCCCAGCAGCTGTGACAACCTGTAATGAAGGCTACGCCTTTGTTCGAATGTTTACCGCCCGCCTGCCTCTCTAGTGCACAGGTTCTATGAGGACCAGGCTCTGGTGTGTAAGAGGGATGAATTTAGTAATTTAATATTGAATTAATGGACAAATACACTGCTACTTCTAGTATGTTAAGGCTAGTGATTGATTCTTAAGGAAGACTTACATCTCACTTAGAGAGAAAACGGGGGGGGGCAGTGTCAAGTACAAAGGAAAATTTTAAGACTATTATCTGATTTCACAGAAAACACACACACCCAGGCCTTCCTACTGTTTTAATAGCAGCTACAGGACAGAAGATGCTATGACATCTCCTTGGCTGACAGGGTTAAAGAAGGTTGAAAAACACTTTTTTAGACTCTAGATAAGCAGACTTAGTTTGTTTTTAAGATTTAACAAGCTCAGAAAACTTTCAAAGTAAGTAGTCTCTAAGCACTAAAGAGGATGTTGTATGCAAAATAGCTCCGAGTATTGGCTCATTCAGGAAAGAAGCAATTCTGGCCAAATAAAGCTAAAACAAAATAAAATAAGCAAGCAAAATTAAACAATCTCCAAAAGGAGGCAAGATAAACAAGTGGGGCAGGGGACTGGGGCAAGGACTTGGACCCCTGACTTTTCTCCCTTAACTAAAACGGGGCCTGAGGAAGTAAGAACCCACCCTGGGCTGCTCTCCTCACTGACAGTGGCTGTTCTGTCAAAACGCCTTCTAATCCTTTTTCTTGGAAGTGTGTGCCTAGTCTTCCAAAGCTGCTGTCAATAACGCAAGTCAGAAAGTCAGCTGAAGGTCCTCCCAGGGGAGACAGAGGGCCTGTATCTCAGCTCCTCCCGAGGGCTCACCCACCCGGGCCATTGTCCGTGTCTCCAGCACCCTCGCGGTCACTCCATCTGGACGGTCTGCCTCGCCTTCCACTCTAGTGGTCCCCACCGCACCCCCCGGGCTGTGCTGCACGAGCCCCTCAGGGACACCTCTCCCAGAGGGCTAACGTCAGAGGTGGGCCCAGCGTGTGGCCAGGGCTCAGGAAGCTCCCACTCCTGCATGGCAGTCCGTCCGCAGGCTGGAACCCTGGTCAGCTCTCCGGGTCCCAGCGACGCCAATGCCCACGAGGCTGCAGCTATTCCCTGTGGCTCTCCCGGGAACTGGTATTTCCTCTGTTCACTATAGGTCCCCTTATAGGAAAACAGTATATTCTCAGACCACAGGGGAAGTTTGAATGAAACCTCTCCAGAGAGGGCTCCACCTTTAACAAAGAGGTCTAGCCACTTAAACCCAGAAAAACCAGCCCATTCACCTACACCTACATGGGGAAATTAAAAAAATAAATTCCTAAAATCACAATCCACATGCTTTTCAAATCTCCCCCTCTGTTTCCTAAATTCTCTAGAACTGTCATTTCCTGAGAGCCTGGTGTGCTTGACCTAACACTCGGGGGTTTTACATACATTACCTGGAACTCACCTTACTCATATACTGCAGTCAGAACCCTCTACTTTTGGGGTAAAGAGACCCCAGGCTCAGAGAGATTAGGACCCTGGCCAGTCACAGCAAGTGACCCCGGCTGTGGGACCCCAGCCCGGGCTCTCAGCCTGGACAGTCAGGCTCCAGCTTCCCTCTCTTGCCTGGCACTGAGTCCCCTCTGCTGTGCCATCACACACACCGCCGAGCTCCCTCCTCACCTTTGCATCCTCTGCTGTAACCTCACCTGAAGCCTCCTCTGACCCACCCGCCTTTGCCCCCCAGCTGCTGCTTTTATCCCTGAACGTCCAGCAGGACTGACGTCTCTACACATTCTGCACCTGCCTTAGAGCCTACTCTTTCTTCTTTCCCTGGCTGTCGGCTTGTGTGGGGCAAGATGTGCATCATCTTCCTCTCCATGCCTGGCCCTCGGGGCACCTGAGCCTGCTGTAAGGCAGGAGGGCTCTTTTCCAACGTCCTCATACCTCTGGTTGTTAGCAAAACAGAACACCCAGGTCTTCCATGCTGGGAGACCAAATAAAAGTAGACCTTGTTCAAAGGGAAACAAGGTCCAGAAGGGGGCTTTACAAATTATCCTGACAATCTCTGAAAGAAAAGCTGTCTGTATACTTCCATTATTCCTAACTCGCATCTATATAACGCTGGAAAACGCAAATGAAAAACTCCCCATTTTCTAATGGTTTTCACCGTGTAGAGCTCAAATGGGGAAACCGAGGCACAGTGAGGAGGGTGTGCCAGACACTGCAGACATCGGCAGACCCGATCAGGACTCCCACGTGCTGGCGTGACGCCCGGAGTGACACAGCGCTACACACAGAACGTGGCTCTTACTGGTCACTTGTCCTTCGATCCCCTTGCAGGACGCTGGTAATTAAGGGAAAAGCACCAGATTCAAGGGCTCGGGCTGCCTCTTCAGCAATCGTACGTGCTTTCTGTACCCAGAAGCACACCAGGACCTCCTCTGCTTCCCCTCCACACCCTGGCAGTTCTGGCCCCCAAGTTTTGAGCCTGAGCCCGTGTCCATTGCCGAGGGCAAAAATCACAGCCATGGTCTTGGCCAGCGAGGAGACAGGTGTGTCGTGAAGGACTGGGGGAGACAAAATTAGGCCAAAACAAAGAAACGAACAAGTCCAAGACGAGTAAGAGCCCACAGGAAGCTTTAAAATTAAGCCACTCAAGTGGCTGTTTTCCCACGAGACAGAAAACCCCGGAAAGCATCCTTAGCATAAGAACAACGCGCTCACAGGGAAATGTCTCCCAGGCAAGTCTGAACCTCACGGAAGGGCACGTCCGGACGGCAGGCCATCGGCCAGTCGCAGCTGCTGTGGAGGACCTGCCTGTGGGGGCTCTCCGCACCCTCCCACGCTCTGGCGGCACCCAGGGCCACAGTGTAACTGTCCTACCAGGGGTCTCCCTCCCACAGGGGCACAGGGCTCCACATTTCATGAAATGCTTTCTCCATGGACTGTCCCCTGGATTCTGACGACAATTCCACCAGGGGAGCAAGACGGAGGCGGGCCATCTTCCTCAATACGGACAAGTGGGAACCAGAGGATCTCGCCTGCCAAGTCCTAAGGCCCATTTTAATTTTCCGTCCTGTTTCAGCCACTGTGTGAGCTGAAGTTCCTTCATTTTCCCAGGGCTCAGTTTCCTTCTCGTGTGGTGGGTTGTGGATTGTGATGATCTTTCAGCATCCTTCTCACCCTCAATTATCCTGGTTGACTCAATTTTAACTTAAAGGTGAAAGACAAACCAATGTTGGGAAATCTGAGGAACTTCTGGTTTCAATGAAGGTAAATTGGGGGCAGAGGGAGCTGCCTATTACCGGTGAGAAATTTCTGCACACTTAAATTTATGGCTCTGAGTTGATCTCGCTGGACCTCACGTCTGAAGGGAGGTCAGGCAGCGAATGTGTCTGTCTAAGGCCCCAGGAGGGGGAGTCCGGGGTTCTGAATGGCTGAGTCTTCCGCTGCTGCCCGGCTCTGCTCAGGCACAAGGAGGCTTTGCTCAAAGGCGATCTAAGTCAAACTTCCTTGCATTTTGATGAGGCAGCTGGGGTTTCTGGAAAATATTCCTGAGCTGGATTCAGAATGATTCTACTTTCCCCCTCAGTCCTCCCCTGATTAGTGGGGACTTGAGCCTGAGGGTCTGTTTCCGCCTTCCCCAGAAGCCACCGTCCTTCAGAGCCTCCGCTCTCAGGGTGGGAATGGCTTCTGCAAGCAGAGACGTCTGCCTGACTCGCCCCGGAACACGGGCAACTTAACTGAGTGGAGACATCCTTGTTTTCATGCAAATGGTCTGTCGGTTCAGCAGAATGAAATGAAAAAACCGGAAGGGCCCCAAAACAGAGGGGAACTATCTCCACACAGGCACACAGAACCTCCGCAGATCTTCGACCACGTCTCCCGACACCTCCATGCTAAACATCACCTCTTTCCCAAGTGCACGGGCACCTGAGCCCGGCCAGAGGCAGGATACACCCCATTTCAGTCCCTTACGAAAGTCACGTGAGGGCTGTGCTCCTGTGTCACCAGCACAGGCCAAACCTCCGCTCGGATGGCCTGCCATGCGCAGCCTGAAAGGACACGCTGATTTCAGTAGGGAGGGGGCTTCTCTTTCCAATCACAGGAACTGCTTTTTCTGAGGGGTTGGTCTATCCTTGGCTGACCACGGTTGTGATGGCCAAGTCCTAAGGACTTGTTCTGGCCACTGGCTCATTACAGGAACTTGCTCTTTGTCTTCGGGGCCCTTGGTGAAGAGCTAGTTAGAATTTACCCAAGGCAGAGATACACTTGGCATGGAGTCAGGTGGCACATTTTGTGTTCCCCTGAGATAAAATGACAGAAAGGGGCTCAGGGGCGAGGGAGACTCTGGTCCCCGGGCCTCTGGTGTCAATCTCTCCTACAGACCTTTTTCGAGGTTCTCAGTCACCTGTGTAGCCAGGTCGTCACCACGACGTCAGTGACCACAATGAGGGGATGAGAACCCTTTCAGAGTGCCTTCACCGAACAGCTGGTTTGACCTAAAGGTTTCTCAGGGTCCTCTTTGGGGTTAGAAAGGGACGCTGCGCTCCCCCAGGCTGCTCCCCTCACTGCCCAGGTGAGCTGCGACACACCGCTCTCCTAGCATGGAGCGGCGGCCTGAGGTCTCACAGGGGACGCAGTCTGGGCACCTCATTTAGGCACATACAGAACAGTAAGTCCACATACAGAACAGTAAGGAAAACACTGGCCGGTGCAGCTTTTGGCTCACACATGCTGTCACGGTCACGGTCACTGGTTATCTTTGATGAGAGCGAGTCATGCCAAAGCCTTAATTTAACTTCTCTCCGTTACTTTATGATCTATGAGGCCATTTGGGGTCTCTCTAAGAACACAGCTCCCATTTATAACACCATCTCAATGGAGAATAAGCTCTGAGAAAAAACACTGTTGTGAATAAAGCTCACATTTCCCAGAAAATGGCCCCAGTGTGATTCAAATAGGCATGGCATTGTGTATGGGGAGGCCCCGAAACCTGTGTTAGCAGGAGCTGAGCACCCAGGAGGAACCCTGCGTTTGGAGGTACTGGCTGAGAAGCCCAAAGCTACAGCTTAGGGGACCTCTCAACCCCCCCCACACTGTGGGGACCCTTCAATGTCGGCATTTCTGTGCCCCAACCTGTCCCTGTTGGAGACACACAGACTTCGTGAGCAGTGCACTGTCTGCGGATTCAGGATACAGGACAAGCACTCTGTGGCCAGGAACAGGGCGGGGACCATCGGCACCTGGCACCAGCCCCGCGGAGGCATGTGACGCGCTCCCCCGATAACCTCCCCTGGGGAAGGTCCTGCCACAGGTCACGTCTCATCAGCGAGAACAGGAGGGTGGGCTCAGGTCACACAGGACCTGGGTTAGCATCCCCGACCCACGGTCCCCTGGTCTGCATCACGCCAGCACCGCAGTGCCCCCTCACTGGTGAGCATGGAATAAGAAGGGCTGCGCTCGGAGCCTCCAGGGCTCCGGAACTGTGACCACCAGCCCTGCCACTAGCACCTTGCACTAGGCGAGCCAGTGCAAGGGAAAAGGACTTCAAGGAACTGAAACCCAACCCGTATTAAAGAGGGAAGAGCCCAGGTTTTGGACCCTGGTTGGACCTTACACTGAATCACAACTCTACCACTCACCAGCTCCATGACCGTGGACCAGCCCCTCTACCTCCTTGAGCCTCAGTTTCCATATCTGTAGAATGGGCACTAAGAGCACAGAGCAGGCGGGACTGAGAGGTGAACACAGAGAACGTGTGAAGAGCGCTCACAACACCTCCCATCTTGCTGCTGGCACCGCCATCACAGTCTATACTCTGTGCCCCTTATACTTCCCACCTCAAGACTGGACAGACTCCTAGCTCTGAGGATGGAGTCACAGGGCCCTTCTCAAAGACCGTACCTTTCCCGGCGTTTCTAGGGGGCAATGGAGGTGCCTCCGAGGTGGGTGACGTGGGTGAGTCTGTGCTCGTGGAGGCGAAGATCTGGTTAGTGAAGGCGCCATAGGAGAGCCGCTGCTTGTCCCGTGGAGTGCCGAACCCCGGCAGTGACAGCTTGTCCTGGGGCGAGAGGCTGGAGGAGTGGCAGAAGCTCTGAGGTCGTGGCGAGCGCTCCTTCTTGATGGGGCTCGGCTGGCAGATGAGATAAACGGTGCAGTGAGTGAGACAATACTCTATTGCAGGGCAGGCTCCTGTGGGAACCTGGGCTTCCTTAGGTCACCCACGACGACGACCACCCAAGAGCCACCTCACAGTGCAAGGGAAGGGAAGCAGACCATGTGGTTGACATCTAATGCTGATGACTCGGACCTACAGATATAACTCCAAACTCCTGGATTCAAAACATTTTCAATCTCCTGGGCAGTGGCCTTGTGTTTGCACTCCTGGCGACGGCTTTAGCATCCATGCAACTTTCCAAGTTAGGAACCTCACGTCATCCAGAGCCACCAGGCTGTGCATCGCAAGCTCAGGAATATCCTCACGCTGTGTCCCGTGAAGGAACCCACCAGCTCCCGCCTTTCCTGGCCTGGGCTGCCTGACTCTGCAGGGTGGCCTCCTGCCTCTCTCCACCCAGCCAACGTGAAGGTCACTGCACACACTGGGCTTCTAACCTGTCCTCAGGCTCCATACGACCCCCAGGCCTTTGCACGCGCTGTTCTCCCTTCCTGGAAGGATGCATTCCTGCTCACCTCCTTGCCTGGCAAGGGCCTCCCTACCCTTAGAAGCCCATTTCCAACTGTACTTCCTTGCGAAGGCCGTCCCTGTTTGCTGAGGTGGAGGCAGCTGCTCTGTCCTCTGAGCGCTTTTCGGTAACTGCCCCCAGCCCCTGTTACGAGTGATCCACAGAGGACAACCTGCCTCCTCTCGGAGTGGCAAAGGCCTTCAGGACACCTCTGCATGGCCACCTCTGACCACTCTTTACATCCTGCCTGGGAAAGAGGAGACAATGCACACGTGTCTGGGGAAGGGGCACGAGCGAACCTTCAGAGGCAGCTAGGGACTACCTCCGGGAGTCAGACAGAAACAGGCGTGATCCCCGAGACCACCGTGCCCAGCTCTGAGACTGTACACAAGCGGCAAAACAGCAGTTTTCTCCTCTGTGACATGGGGCAGTGACAAAGCCACAGTGGGCCTCTGGTAAAGAGAACCTGAGGGGACACGGGTGACATGCTCATGGCTGCCCCGTCCATAGCTGAGTGCTCGACAAATGGCAACTTACTCTGTTTTCAGTTATGTGTCGACTTGGCTGAGCCACGGTGCCCAGGGGTCCGGTCAAACACCAGCCCAGGAGTTGCTCTGAAGGTATTTTTTAGTATGTGAAGCATTCAGATTTTGGGCAAAGGGGATTACCGTCCATAATGTGGGGGTGGGCCTCATCCAGTTAGTTGAAGGGCTTAAGAGAAAGACCGAGGTCCCCCACTGAGAAGGAATCCTGAATCCTGACTGCCTTCAGACTCCAGACTGCTGAGGTTTCCGGCCTGCCCCGTGATTCTGGACTTGTCAGGCCTCACGAGTGTGTGAGCCAGTCCCGTAACATACACTCCACGCTTTCACTGTACATACACACACCTCTCATTCTCTGGGGAACCCTGACCAATGCAGCTGTTCCGTGGTGCCCAACAAGGAGCAAAGTCTGCGCCAAGACAATGGCCCTGGTACATCCAGCCACGAGACCGAAGCCACCTCACAAAGACTGAGTCCTGTCTACACAGTGTAGAAGAGTGAGGGGAAGCACTCGGAAGTTCAGAGGCGTTTCTGACACTCACCTTGTCATCCAGGTCATCATCGCTCTCATCCATCTCCTCCTGTCGCAGATTCCATTCGTATTCGACGTGCACATGTGGGTTGAACTTTCCCGACTTGGCCTGGGAAAGCTGAAAGTAACAGTGGGTGTCACCATTGTAATTCAAATGCCGCATTATGGAAACACTGTGCAAATCTTGCCTTATTCCCAGTTCCAAGTTAACCAACAGCAGCTACGTTATAAGCAAAACTGATTGTACAAGCTAGACTGCTAGCAGCCAGGCTTAAGAGAACCTATAAAAAATTACAGGCAGGGCCTTTTTAGTTTGATAAGTTGACTCCTCTCCAAAATGTAAAGCTTTCTTAAATATTATTAAAACCAGTCTTGAAACAGGAAATTCTTGGCTGGAAGGCAAAATCAGTGAAGTATGAGAGGTGGACCTTTAAAGCCAGAGAGACCCAGTTCAATCCACATCCCACTCTTCTTACTTATACACAGGGCAGAAACAACCAGAACTTCCTCAAGGGAGTCTTTAGTAATAAAAAAAAGTACAACTGTGGGCCTGGAACTTGGCACTTAGCAGAAACGCAGGGGAACGGAACTCATCTTTTCCATCTCATCCCTTCCTGCGGTTAAGAGAATCGCATTCTGCTAAGGCCTGGGGTTGCAGGCACCAACCGCTGGGATTGAAACAGGTGGGTGTGCACAGAGGCACAGAGAGAAGAGGGAGGCGTGCTCAACATTTTAAAAGCCACTGCACTCTGAATTCTACTCGGCCAATGTTTGGAACTGGCTTCCCCAATAAGTCGTCTTTGCTGCAAAGCTACAGGGAAAGCCTAATGGTCTGACCAGTAGAAAGCACAATCCGAGGCATAAGCCCATCTGCAATAAAACCTCCCGGATGCCTTCCGGCTCCTAGGTTGCAACTGCACTTCTCAGGCAGCGGAGGGCAAATTTATCATTTTTTTTTTATGTAGCCACAGTGCTTATCTCCATTTCTTCAGCTTAGGTTCCAACAAATGAATCTGCTGCTTGTATCTTCCATTCCAGGCTCTGAGAGTGACATGAGAGGACAGCTGATGTCTGTTAGCAACCCCACGCCCATTTCTGCTTACCAAATCTTCACACTGGGTGGCTCTGAGTCTCTTGGCTATGTCCAGGGCCGTCTCGCCGGCCTGGTTAACTAAAATCAGGGGGAAACAAAGGCACGTAATTATCTAGGACAGATCTTGAAAAGGCAAGAAACAATAATCAGATTAGAGTGTGATATGCCAATCTTGGTTTTAGCCAACAAAGGCTCTCACGATAGCTGCTAAGACACCTGGCCACGCGCTTACCGACATCCACGGTGGGCTTGCTCCTGAGAACAAGCTTCAAACACTCGGGTTTCCCATACATACTGCAGTAGTGCAGGGCTGTGTTCCCCAGGGCTGTCTGCTTGTCCGGGTTCCCACTGCAAAGTCAAATTGTCAGGAAAACAGGACTTACTCGCCAACCGAACACTGCTGATCCACCACTTACATCTGTGCTAACAATGGGGTCAAATCTCAGAACTATTATACAATTATGGCATCTCCACTGTTACACCCCAATTGATAAGCAACATCATGACAGTATAGTCAGCATTTACTGAGTCTCATGTATACCAGGGGACAGATACTGTCTCCCAGCTTTTCACATGTCTTAGCTCCTTGAATCTTCACAAATGCCCGATGACAATTACAACTTTGATTTTATAGGTGACAACACTCAGGTGTGGAGAGGACGAAGTGTTCACAGTCAAGATGATCGAGACGTGGACGACTGGACACGGGCAGTTAGTGTCCAGAGCCAGCGCTCTTGGCCACTGCACCTCTAAGTAAGGGCTTGTGGGTTCAAATGCCCTCACCATTTTGTCCCCTCCTTTGGATGAGCTCTAGTTCCTCCTCGTGATCTGCGGCTTACAGATCTGCCCAATAAAGAATCCAGCAAGTCCAAACCTCCTGCGTTTAATATTATATTCCTATTAGCATGTCCCAAATGTGAATTAGCTCTACACTGCTGTCTCATCATGAACATCATGTGGACCTGAGTGGTTAAGTCTTCTCTTTTCAACCACCCTACTGCATCAGGTTTGGACCTGGAGACAGGATTTTACATTTATCTAGGCCAGGGGTTGGCAAACTATAACCTGTAGGCCTTATCTGGCCCTCCACCTGTTTTTGTAAATAAAGTTTTATTGGGACATGTCAGTTGCGTGTCATCTATGGCTGCTTTCATATGGCAGAGTTGAATAGTAGCCACAGAGACTTTATGGACTACAAAGCATGAAGCAGTACCTGGCCCTCTATAGAAAAAGCTTGTTGCTTCCTAATCTAGGCCACTAATAGGACTGCCTTTGTTAATTTATGAGGCATATTCAGAGAGAGAAAAAACCATACCAGTTTTGTACAAGAAAGTCAACCAAATGGAGAGATGTCTGGTCTGCAGTTCGGACTGCAAGATGAAGGGCTGTCTCCCCGAGCTCCTAAAAAGGACAAGATAAGTATAAACGGGGGGGGGTGTGTCACATGTCCTACCCTGTCTAGAGCAGCTTCCTTTACATCAGTTACCCCAGAACAATTATTACTAGCACCCCCTTTCACTCTCAGATTGTCCTGATTTACACAGGGCCACTTGGTATGTTAGGTCTCATTCTAACTGCGAGAGTCATGTTGGAAATGGGCCGCCCACATCCCTTCCGCCCTACAGTTTCAGCGCGGCCTCACCTGCCCAGATTCCAGCAGTGGCTCCATGAGCTCCACGCCCTCTGCATAGACTTGAATTAGTGCAAGCAAATCCCTGGATCTGACGGCCTCGAGCAATTCGTTCAGTTTAGCGGATGAAGAAGAACAGGTCTTCCTTGAAAACCGATGATCTACATACTTTGCCGTGATGTATTCTTTCCGTACAGTCCTAAAAGACAGCAAAACGAGACCAAGTACTTTTATTTTCCAAGAGCTAAGAAAGATGCACACTTTTGCAGACCCGCAGTTCTCTTTGAGGTAGTGGTCTTAATTAAGTACTTCTTTTCGACATTCAAACACGCCAGGTTGTAGACCAAGTTATCCCAGCAGAGACAGAATGGAGGACTTGGTACACATTCACCGGCACGTGTGGCCACTCGCAGGCACAAAATTAAAGGGCACACAGATCCCAGCAGGTTTCTTTTCTGCCTTGGGCAACAGCATGAGACATTGGCTGTTTGCTACAACTGCAAACTCTGGCTCACAGAAGTATGTAAGGCAAATGAAAAACTGCAGAAGTTGAAGCAGTTCTGAAAGACCAGTGAGAAGATTTCAGAGCTTCATGGAAAGGATTTTAGTCATTGGACCTCACTCTGCTCTGTAGCAGGTAAGGAAACTGAGGTGCAGATGGGCTGTTGTCAAAGCCTTAATTCTCTGTAATCCGTGCTCATCGGTGAAAAGACATCCGAGCGGTCTCTGCGTGGGGGTCGATGCTTGAACCCCTTTGTTAGCCAGACGCCCGCAGACAAGTCGGGGTGCCACATCTGCTCCCCAGCACCCTTGATTTTTCTTCTGTGGCACTGACACAGCTATGCGCATGGTGCTAGCTGCTGCAGTTCTGAGTTGCAGCCCACCTTCCTCTCCAGATTCCCGGTGTTGTGAGAACAGGGTTTATATCTAGTCTGTGTTCTGCTGGTTCCCCGGCAGCTAACTCGCTGTGAGGCATACACAGTACATGCTTGATACGCATTTCTTGAATTCAAGAAACATCGACCACCCAGGGACCTACTGGGAGGTTTTATTTCATGGTTTCAGAGTGACACAAACATCTCCCTCGGATGCCCCCCATGACGGCTTTACTGCTTTGCAGACTTGGTGCCCGAACAACTTCCGAGGAGGGCGGGTGAGACATTTAGGCAGGCAGCTACTACACAACACCTTTCTGCTCACGGGCAGGACTCAGTCCTTCCTATCCATCCACAGCATTAAAAAGACTTTTTAAAGTGCAAACCCAATGTAATGATTTTCTAATAGGTTTAAAGAGTCACGTGACTCAAAACCATAGATGACACCAAAGGGCGTTGATGGGGGAGTCTCCCGCTTACACCCGCCCCAGAGCAAGCACTGAAGCCTCCTGTGCACTTTCCCGTGGTTCTTCAAACACAATTTCAAATCAGTGTGTTCACGCATTTATCACTGTCCCAATCCATTTGGCGTCTGAGTCCAGACAGGACATGTGAGAGTTCAAAAGTGAGGAAATTCATCAGCAAATTTCCCACAGTTCAGTTCCTGAGTTTGGACGGCCAAGAGGGCTAGCGTGCTTGGTTTTGCCTCCCGCCCCCTCCGCCCCCAGAGGCCTATGGGTGATGCTTGCGTTTGCTCCTCATCTGGCCTTACCACAGAACAGGAATACACTCCCAGGAGAGGGGCTGCTCAGTCGAAGGTAAATACATTTCTAACTGTGATAAACATGGTCATGGGCAGTGTGCCACTGGCATTCCCACCAGCCACATGGGAGCGAGGCTAGAATGTTTGTCTCCCCGCCGTCTTGCTGAGTGGGCTGATAAAGCATCTGGACTTCTGCCAACCTGCCAGGCCTCTCCCCACTGCTTCTGTGTCCCTTATTTATCACAACATGTCCTGATTTAGAGATAATCATCCCCAGGAAGATCTATCCTCCCGAGCAGCTGCGACTCCCTAGGGGCAGGTGATGCTGAAAATAACCTGTGCATTCCCGAAATACATTTCCAAGTTCTCTGCTCTGCTCTTTCCTCATAACGTGGCTTCCCCTGCAGGGCAAAGCACTATAACTACGAGGAAGTTTCTGGGGAGGGTTCAGAAACAATGATACAATGGTAAAGAATTCAAGATACTGGAAGTACTTACATATCACTTGTCGGGGTGGGTTTTGGTGAGGGGCTTGGTAAATTCGCTTCCATAATATCATTGAAACTATTATTTCCTACATTCTTGGCCAGCTGTAACATAAACAGAGCACAACATAGCAAACTCTTTACCCCTGGTTTAAAAGGTTTCTATTATTTGCTTGTGAGGTTTCTGAACATGTACTTTCCCCCACCCAGTTCAGAATACGAACCATCCATCCATTGGTCAACAAATACCTGCTGAGCACTTGCCACGTGCCAGGCTTTAGAAAGCGAAAAAGAGAGATGGTAAACCACGTTCCCTCCCGGAGGAACTTACTATGGGCTAGACGGACCCCTGATGAGAAAGCCAGTCATTTCTACAAACGCAGTGTGATAAACACGAGAACAGAAGAGGATGTGGCCCCACACCCGCATCTTTGGAGTCAGACACAGCAGGCTGCTCACGAATCCAGGTTAAATGCTTAACGAACAACAAAGGCCATGCAACTGCCCTCATGCCTCCAGTTAGATGATGGAGCAGCTTTACTCGACAGAGAAGAAATTAGGGCTCCTTATGTTTGGGGCACAAATTTAGATGCAGCAGGCAACTATTGCAGAGGTTCCAGTAAGCACTCCGAGTCTGGGTTCAAGATTCTTCCAAAACTAGTGGTCCTGAAGGTCCTGCGGCTGCTCAGGTAATTTGGGGTCTATGTGAGGTTTAAGGAGCATTCACACAATCAGATGCCTGAAGGGGCAAGGAGCCCGGCACCAGCACACTTTCCGAATTTCCCATCTCCTAAGTCAAGGGGTTCCCACAACACAAGACGGGCCCTCATGCCTGACGACCAAGACTGCTCGCCAGGCAACTGCCTTGACCTTTGGGGACTGCTCCAGACGGGGCAAGCGATGAGCCAGGCTCTCAGGTTCTTGGTCCCCCTTTTTTGCTCGAGGGCCTTCTGAGCAAGGCCCACAGTTCCTACTGTGGGGACCATTTAACTTGGACCAGACAAGGGCCCCCAATACGGGTGAATGACGATGGGAAGGGTGGGGTTATAAGCACACGGGAGTGTTTTTGACCCTTTTCTCTCCTACAAAGCTCAGCCCCACACCTGCCCACGGCTCTCCCTGTGCTCATTAAAGAACTCCTGGGGTAAGGAGTGATTGGTTTTAGGGTGGCAGCTGACCGGCCGTGCTCTATTCACGTGTACTTTTACAAACTTACAAACAGTAAAAATAGAGAAAAAACCACATCAGTCATCATTTTTAACAACACAAGCCCCTATGTAAAGTGAGCAGGTGAATTCAGCACCTACCTCCCTTTACCGCTTTTCCGTGAATCATGTAAAACTGATTCTGGAAGAAAAAAGCAGCTTTGAAAAAGCCCACCCCAGAAGGGCCAGTTTAACTGACTAATTATGGAACTGTGTGATTCACCAGTTCTTCGAACAGGAAAAAGAAATAGTCAACATTACACAGGACGAGACTTACATTTTAAATATCTGTGCAAATTAAACAAAATTCAGAATTTAATACTTTTGGACTCGGGAGAAACAAAAACCTTAAACCAATATATTCACGACAATGAACTTCAAGTTTTCCTCCTAAGTACAGGTCACTACTTACCAAGAGTTCAGAAGTTCCTAATTTGTCTAGTTCCAAAGACTGGATGCGAGAAATATGAACCCCCATTTCCCTGTGGATGCCGGAACATTCTATGCAGGTCAAAATACCCAAGTTGGTGGAAAGCCAGGTTGGTTCTGTGGAAAGGATTTTGAAGACAATGAGCAAACAAGGCATCTAATTTTAGCGTGCCCACTGCAGAGGAAGCTAAAACAATAGTGGTAAAACTTTTAAACAATTACAAGGGGAAGATTTACACAGACGAAGCAGATTGCTTGCAGTTTGGCTGAGGGGTGATTATAAAAATTGATAGTTTGTTTGAGAGCAGAAAGTGTCCTGAGACAAATTTGAAAAAACTTTCTTTCAATATTGAATTGAAAACAAAATCAAGTTCTTTCTTCTTACTAGCCAAGGTTGTATTTTGGTAGGTGACCACGTAGGGAGCAGGTGGGAGTTTCGCAGGTACAGCCAACAGCGTGGGTCAGTCAAGTTGGGAATATGTGCTGGGTGTGTCCATAGGGGAAGAGGGTTTGAAATTACCAGCTCATTCACCTTCTATGAGAGGAGAAAGATGTTTAACAAGCCACCTCCACTCTGGGGACCAATACCTGATGAGCCACAGTCGCAGCAGACGTCATTCCCAGGGAGCCGCTGGACGTCCTCGATAATGGCTTTGGTCAGGTCCTCCAGGCTGTTCTCACCCGTGCTCTGCTCTCCACGGAAGGCCATGGTCAGGGCCTCCTCTTTGCTGTTTGTCAACACTGAAATCCATCTGTTGTTGAAACAGGAAGGAGACCTTGTTTTCCCCACATTGCAACACAACTGTGTTCCCCAAGAGACACCAAAAGCGACACCGCTCCCCCAAGACAGTGAAGAGAGAAGAAAAAAGAAATGAAACCTAAAGGAAAGGGAGGTAAAAGGTGGAAGGGGACACAGCGGAGGGAACGGGAGAGACTGGAGGACGAGGTGGGACAGGTCGGGTCAGTATCGCTGAGGACCCGCATGGACACGCCCACGGGGATGACGCAGAAGGACCGGTGAGGAATGGAATGGCTGGGGGGCGGGCAGGGGTTCAGCAGGAGGCCTCTGCTCTCCACAGGCCCAGCTGGAGGTGGCGGCGGGGCCTCGGAGTGACATTACACAGGGCATTTCATGAGCGGCCGGGAAAATCTATGCTCATGAAAAAGGTGCATTAATGTGGAAACATGCTGGCATTTCAATGTACAATAGAAAGTGAAGACTATTAAATTATATATACAGTAAGATCCCAATGTGTACTGAACAAAATAATCCTCTCCCACCAACCTATGCATAAAATGACCCGAATGCCCAACAGCAGGGGGCTGATTAATAAAGAATGAAGTAACCCGAAAGTGGAATAGTTACCCAGGTGTTAAAACGGAAGTGTTTTACTAATTTTTGAATGACGTTGGGGAAATGCTCATAATATAATGTTTCGTGGAATAAATAGGAAAAGCCATTACATATAATATAGCCTCACATTTAAATGCATGCCTGGAGTACATATGTTTGTTTGGAAAAGAAAAGGCTACAAGGAAATTTGTAGAATGCTGTTGGCGTCCCTGAGTGGTCTTCTGTAGGAAAACGGATAGATGGATTGCTCGACTCTGTGCCTCTCTGTAATTTGCCATATGTTTAGGGAGCTGGTATTACTTTATGAGTGGGGGGGGGGGGGAGCCATGCATATTTTTTTTAAGAAGAAAAGGAAAAACATTTCCAAACCACAGTTTATCGTTACCTACTGCAGAGACAAGGTGATACCTATTCTCAGCAGAGAACACAGAGGTCCAGAAATGAGGCTCTAGTTTTTCGGGTGTCTTGTAGGATCAAAAGGATATGAAACAAAGGACTGGCTACAACAGGTTTTGAATTAGTCATGGGAATTGAAAGACAACCCAAATTTCCTAGGGCACGTGACCTGCAAGTCCCACCTTGGACTCTAGGTGGCGCTCCAGTTTGTTGTGAGAAATACCTGTGCACAGCGTAGCTTTTCTACTGTGATGCAGGAAGCACTCACTGCACCTCAAAACCAGCAGTCTAGGGACGGGCAGGGAGGGGGGGCCACTAAATACCTTTTACATGGAACTGTGTTTTTCCACTATTTAGTCTCGAGTTACAAACTAGAAACTGTTATGTTAAAAACAGTTTAAGAAACCTGACTCAAGAGAACTGGTCACGGCATGTTACCCGTGGCATCGATGGGACCAAAGTTTCCTCTCCGCCTGCAGGGTCTCTACTTTGTTCTCCTTAAGCATCGTGATACTCTGCCTATTGGACGTCACGAATACCTACTACGTGCCAGGCACTTACAATCTCGCTCAGGTAACCCTCCAACCAGCCCCACCGTGAGTGCCCACGACACTTGGTCCACGGGGCAACAAGCCCAGAGAGGCTGGACGGCGTGCCCAAGGGCCGCAGCTGGACATTTCCAGTGACTCCCCGTTTGCAGAGTTCTTTCCCTGAGGCCATTTTTGCCTCTTTATTCAAGAGGTCATGACAAAGAAGGAAAGAAGTCTGTCATGATAACCAAAAAACACATATGTAAAGCACCATGAGTTTTCTAGAGTAATTCAAACTTGGTGGAATGAAATGGCTCCCTTTCAAAAGGGTGGAGATTGAAATAGCTATTTCTGACAATTAAAAAAAACTTTTAAATTACTTTAAAGTAACAGGCACACAAAAATATAAGAAAGAAAAGAATGCCTAATTGTATTCTAATACTTTAAAAATCACTTTGAGTTTACAGGGTTAAAAAAACTGGCACCGCGGTAGGAGTTTTACACATTTTATCTCAGGTCTCCAAGCCTGCAGGTGAGGCCCATAATTCCCAATGAACTGGCAAGAAGACGGAGGGGGGATGACCGCAGCTGCAGGAAGGGCAGAGCCGGGAGCAGCCGGGAGCAGCCGTCAGGTCTTCGCCTTAAGGCGCATCTGCTCTTCGTACCGCACCTGCCTCCTTCCTCGGCGAGCGGTGATTTCTTCACTCAACCTCACTGCACACTCTCCCATGAGAGGGAAACCCAGAGGTGCAGAGAAGGCAAATGAAGAACTGAGGCCTCCCTCCAGGGCACACACCTCCCCTGTAGAAAGCCTCTACCTCCTACATCCCTCAAGTCCGCCTGCCACATCACCACGAGCACCCACAGGATTTCGAGCGCACGAGGTGCCACAACTGCAGAAGGGGCCCAGCAACCCTTTACTACAGGGTGTGAGGTCCTGGGCAGGAAACTGATGCCTCTGGCCGACTCAACTACCCGTACGTAGGTCAGAAGGCTACAGGTCTTGGTCCGAGATAGAGCAGATCTCCTACCTATCCTCCCACTTGGGGCTGTGAGGTGGGGGAAAGAGAAGCAAAGCACAAAACGAGAGCAGGGAAAGCAACATTCCAAGGTGACTACAAACTCTTCATGGGACATGTGTCAGGGCTGCCCGGGACACGTGACGGCCTGTGGTACCTTTCCCAGCAGGAACCAGTGAACAGCCATCACACGAGGAACGCTGTCTGCTCGAATCGCACACTGTCCGCCCCTTTCCAAGAGGGGCCTTAAGTAACCACCTGTTGTTCCCTTGTCTTACAAAGGAGAGTGAAGTTCCTGAAAGTAAACCAAGCGATGCCGGCCAGATCCAGCTAAGGGTGTGGCTCGGGCTTTTCCATTCTCACTTCGGAATCCCTGTCCTCTGACTCGTGGAGCTGAACCTCCGATGGAACCAGCGTGGTGAGCTGGAAACAGCACGGGCATCAGAGCTGGGCTTCCAACCGCACATCTACTGTTCTGAGTCTAATCATCAAATGGGGGATGGTCTGCTGCCCTCGGGGTGTGTGAAAGGAGCAGAGAGAGTGCAGGTGAGCCCCTGCTGCTTGGCCCATGACAGGTGCCAACGTGAGGGCAGCTGGACGCTCCGGACGCTGGAGGACTTCTTCGTCCAACTCGACCGTGAGGTGCCCGGGTCACTAGGACTGTGTCCACGAGCACACCGTGCCCCGCTTCCTCATTTCCAAACGAGGGATGACAGTCTGATTCTGCGGTTGTCAGGGTTACCGAGGCACGACACGCACTCAGCACAGTACGAGTGCAACACGCGTTACCTACTTTGGGGTAAATGTGACCTCTCTCTGAATCTGAGGTGGAGGCCAGCCCTCCTGACTGTCCCCGTTTTCCCTGGTTTCTAGTCACCCTCACTTGGCCGACTCCATCTCGGCAACATCTGGCCGTCTGTCATTTCCTGTCTCTCCCTCCTTGCTGCTTCTAGGCCGGCGGAATCTCCCACCCGTGGGAGGGTTTGCACCCTCCCCATGCCTTCCTGAGCCAGCTCTGGATGCTCACCTTCCTCTTGAAAGTCGCCTCTGAGCAGCACCCCCAAGTACCCAGGAGGGTGTGAGTCCCAGTCTGTGTGCCCACGGCACTGGCCTCCTCAGTCCCTGCACCATGTCACCTGCCCTTCTCGTCCAGCAGAGACTGAGTTCCTTCAGGAGGGGGCTCCGTCTACCTCGGTGCTGCATTCTTGATGCTTTGCATCGGTCTCGGGACACAGTTGGCATTTATTAAACCATCAGGTGAAGGAATGACCTGTGGACGTTTCTCCTCTTTTCTCTTGGTCCCTCCTACCTTCTTGCTCAGCTTTTTCACTGCTTCTCCCAACTCCACATCCTTTGTACCCATTTCTCTCTCTCTGATCCCTATCATTTCTCCCTGATGGGGAAAGAGTAAAATTCTCCAGAGCAGGAGGAGACAGAGAGGAAGGAGAGAAAAGGGGTGAGTGTAAGGAAGCGGGGTGTGAGCAGAATTCTGTGGCTCCACAGGAATAATTAAGGGGGCAAAACAGTATGTACTGTGCACCGCCAATGACGCGGGAACTGCACGTCTGAATGCTACAGACAGGTCTCACTGCCAGCACTCATACAAACACCCCTTCACCAAAGCAGCTGAGGCTGCAGCGGTCCCATGACACTGTTTTCAGTCCCCGCCAGTCTACAGGGCAGAAGAGGGAATGACAGTGGCTCCAGACCAGGGATGGTATGAAAAAGGGGCTGCCTGGGATGGCACACCTGGTCAGGTGAGGGTAGGATTCCAACACAGGAGTGAGTGACAGACACCAAGCCCAGTTCGCCCCCCACACCGGGCTCTCTCACAGAAGGGTTCCTGCCAATCCTGGTCCTTCAGCGGCAGGCTGACCTGCTGCCCTCATTGTGACAGGAAGACTGGCTCACGCATCTGGTCACCAAACAGAGGGCACGCCCTCTATGTGTCGGCGACGTCATTGCGAGACAGGAAGACGCCATCCTTGTCTTCAGGAAGCTCTCGGTCTCTAGGGGCTCAGCCTGAACCGGGGCTGAGAGCAAGGCGCATACCTCTGGGATGGTGGGGCCTGAGCAGCATCTTAAAGGAGGCCCCAGAGTTCCCCGGGCACCACAGAGAGAGAGAGAGCAACGTGTGAAGGCCCAGAAAGGAGAGACAAGCATAAGGAACCACCAGGAGCAGTGCTCGGTCATGAACGTGACGGCCACGGCATTTCGGGGGTGCCAGCATTTCAGAACTACTTACGCTACGTAATCCTGTTCATCTTCTGCTTGAAAGTGATACGTCCTATTATCTAAAATACAAAAAAAATGAACCAAAGTGAAACCTTAGAAAGCAGAATACCTTTAGGAATAATAAAAACTTCCCAAGTTCCTACAAAAAAAACCCCTCACAGTAAAAGTAGGATTTTAATATTCTTTTGTTTTTATGCCACTTTGTTCCAGCAGTTACACAATTCATGTTGTCAATACTACTTTTTCTGAAGTGCCATAGGAATGCAATAAAATAACCGCAAACACCCCCCAAATATCTGGCACTTCTGGAGAAAATGGGGAGGGGGACTGGCCCTACCCGCTCGAGTGGATTCCAGCGACAAACTGCAGAGTGCCAGCTGCCAGCGCAGTATTTTGCTTTTCATTTCCAATTTGCCTTTTATTGTGTTCTCTTTAAAAATAATTTCCTTTTCTGAAATGATTCACAACTCTCAGGGCAGCTCGGACAAGCAGGCTTAGTCTGCCCCAGAGAAGTCTGGGCTGCCCCCCACTCGAAGCAGGCTTCAGGGGAGAAAGCTCCGACCTCGGTTTGCTGGTCATCTCAGGCTGCTACCCAGGGGAGGAGGGAGCGGCCTTGGATACTTCGGGCAGGTGTTTATGAGGGAAGCTCTTAAAATGAAGACTCTGCTAGGATGCTTCAACACACTCAGGTCAAATGAGCCTTTACTTCCAGCCGGCCATTCACTACGTGGCTGCCCCAGGCTAGGCATTCACACCCCCATCTCCCAGAGAGAGACGGTGTGCGTGTAGAAGAACATGCCATGGGTAGCTGACCCTAAGGGTCCCAGCTGAATGTCTGTTTTAATGCTGTGTGACTTTGTGAAAGTCACTGAACCTCTCTGGGTCTCAGTTTACTGTCAGACAGCAAACTGGCTTTGTGAGGATTAGCAACGATGTACGTAAAGCACCTGGCACAGATTAGATGGTCAAAAACTGAACTGCAGTTATGCTTCTATAATTCAATGACCTACAGATTCTATAATCTAGAGGTTCTTGGCTTTTTAAAGTCATATTTTAACTCTCATTAATAACCCAAGTAATTGCTTGGTCGTAAAAATCATAGCACTTCAACATGTGCTACAGAATCCAGCTCAGAGTCCATGTTAAGAGCCCCAGGACTAATCCTGTCTCTGGGTTTCAAGTCACACAATGGCACCTGAAGGAGGTCAAGTGCAGGGAAGTGCTTTTGTGCTCTACACAAGGAGTGTGCATGCAGGCTGTCGGCCTGCCTAGGCCAGGGGGCGCTGCAGAGAGGGAGGGACGCTGAAGGGTGGTGCTGTGGGACCACATGGTATTTGTGACAGTCACTGTATCGGCACGGCCTTTACAAAGAGGTGTCCCAACAGCTATGTGAGGGTTGCAGTGCAGACACGGGCCCGGTGGGGACACAGGGAGCCAGCCTGGAGGAAAACCATCTCCCCTACCAACTCTCCGGAGCCTCCGAGAACACACAGTATAGGCCGGTGGGTAGGTCTTTCTGCCCCCGAGTCACAAGAGGAAAGCGTGCTCTGACCCCTGGGGCAGGAGAGTGAGACAGAACAGAGTGTCATCCATTCGTGGGGTTTGAAGGCAGTGGTGATTGGAAGCAGGGAATTTTTCCTTTAGGCCTAAGAGTGTAAGCAAATCAGTTGTTCGAATACAGCGGCACACCTGCCTTTCCAAAGATACCTGAGAACCACCTGGGGGCTTCCTACAAAATACCAATGTCTGGCCTCATAGGTAAGACTATGATACAGCAGTCTCTCCAAGGCGACAGCTGTGTGCCACGATCAGGAATTGGTCTAATTCACCTTACGAATGTAGGTTCTATTCCCCTGTACGATCTGACAGCCTGCCCTCACCTGGAGCAGGAGGGCTCAGAGCAAACTCAGACCCGCGGACCTCCCTAGGGCTGCGTGTGCGGAGGCAGCGAGGAGCCCTGCTTGGAAAAGCCGCTGCCTCAATGCCCAGAGGATGGCAACGGGCGGCCGCCAGCATCCACTGTAACCGACTGACTCAGAGAGAAAAAGCACTCACGTGAGATCAGGTCAAAAGACTTCTTGTCCTCCGCATTCGGTTTCACCTGGCAGGTGAGAAGGTTCAGCTTCGCTGGCTGCCTGTTAGACTGGAACAGAGAACACGGAGAAGTGACCTGTAGCACCTTCCCCTCCCCTGCGGGGGCAGTGCCTGGGGCCTGGGGGGCCGGGGGAGGCACGTGGTTGCAGGCGGCAAGTTTGATAAGGTCTTATTCAGTCATCAGGATTCTGAATGTCATTAAAGGAAAAAAAAATTTTGGTGGTCTAACAAATGTCCTTAACTATACATAATATCTGGTGATTAATCAGAATAGAACCAGGAAAATCCACCTTTCAATGAAGAGCAGGCATGGTCCAGGAAAATGCACCTTTCTGGAACCCACTCCTATTCAAACAGATGGCACTTTAATACTGTATCTTCCTGTGAAATGTAGTGGACTATAATTCATTCATTCATTCATTCACTCATTCAGAATGACCCAGTCACCAATCATCCCAAACCTGATGTCCCAAGCATCCACAAGTTTTGGTTGCGATGTGAAATTTACATGATTTCTCTCGAACGTACAAGGACAACTGCCACCCATGAGGCATACCTTAACAAGCCCCCAAATCTGGAGATAGAAAACCTGGCCACGATCACAGTGCTGATTACCAGTAAATCTCTGATTATCAGACCCTGTAGTGTGTGGACTGTAATACACAGGCCTGGCCTAAATGGAGTCTCGCCACGTAATCACTCTGGTCAAAACTCGTTCTGGACCTGCCTGCCCTCATTCGTCTGAGGTCACACACTGGCCAACGCTGATGCCAACACGTCTGCCTCCTGCAGGTGCTGACCAAGGAGCGATGTGTGAGTGTCTGGGCTGGGCCTGGCATGAACACAGGCCACTGCAGTAGGCACTGGAACTCTGTAGCCAGGCCTGTAGGCCCAGCTGACGGGCATGGTTCTCCAAGTCCCCGTGCCAGGAGCGCGTCCACCCACACAACCCAAGTTTTTAGGGAAAATGGGGTGGGGGGCAGCAGGGAAGAGGACGTCACAACAGTGACCAACCAAAGCCCTGAATAACAGAGATGGCATGTGGTCAAGGCATTTCAATGACCCACTGTACCTCTCAGTCTCAATAATGAGCAACGCCCAACTTCTGTCTGCCTTCCTGTGCTCTCTGGACCGTTTCTAAGATCTTGCTCTGGGATTTCCGTGACCCTGGACACAGAAAACAAGCCCCTGGTCCTGTGCCTAGCTGTTCCAAAGCAAGCTGTCTGCGGGGAGGATGTGAGAGACCGCGGGCATTTGACTTGGACACGGAAGCCAGAAGCAGAGTCCTGTGCAGGAGAGTTCGCCTCACAGGAAGCGTCTGGTCGCCACACCCTGAACAGGGAGGCACGGGACTGCACGTTCTTCTTAGGACAGACCTGGGGCTTGGGTCGCCAGGGGCCTCAGACCGCCAAGCAGGGCCCAGTCCGCTGTAAACGAACTGCCGGTCCTGCAGCCCGCCTTATTCAGACACTATTGGTAAAGTCACCGGATTTCCCAAGTGAATGACAAGGACATTCGACAACCCGAAAGGGGAGCAGTCCCAGTTAACAGACTCTCCGTAGAACGCTGTGCTCCAGTTTGGCAGCCGAGTTTCAAGCAGGACATAGGAGGGCTTAGGGAGGATGGAGAGATGATTAAAGGACTGGAAAATGGGCCTTTGAAGGAGGTTAAAGGCGCTAGTTAGTCCAGAGAAAAGACAGGCAGGGAGTGACTTAATGACCCCCTTCGAGGACATCAAGGTTGTTCTGTGGCAAGGCCGGGCAGCTGTTCTCCATCTGCACAGACCCAGAGGAAAGGCACTCGGACTGCGGAGGAAGATTTGAGCCAGACAGAAGAAAGAACTTCCCAAGCTTGAGTTGATTACGCATAATAAGAGGTTTCGAGTTTCCTGACCTAAGTAGAGAAAGCTCTTTGAAAAACTTAACTGTTCAGACAACATTCACTTTTGAATGTGGCAGAGGGTTAACTAGATGGGGTTTTTTGGTCCAAATTTATATCACTGCAGTGTAACCTTGTCAACAGACACACCAATACAATGCAAAACAGAGAATTTTAAAGCCAGAAAAAAACCACTCAAGTTGAGCATTGACTCGTTCAGGAAAGTCAGGCAGCACCACCCTCCTATAAGCACGGGCTACTGCACAGCCTGTCACCAGAAAGCTTCTGAGGATAAAGATTTTATATGTTTGGGTCCTTTCATGACTGAACCACAACTTCAGTGACGATGACAGATGATGTGGATTCCCCGGGAAGTGAGTCAAGTTCAATGGACTGACTTTGCCACATCAACTTGAACTTCACTTGGACATAAACACTTATCTTGCATAAGTACAGTGTTTGTTCTTCCCCCAAATGCCAATGAGACATTTGACAAATGGCCTATCAACCCAAACGTGACTTTGAGGAGCCAAAACCACACTGTTTTTGACTATCTAAGCTGCTGACAGAGCCAATGCCGAGCCAGGAATGTGAAAAAGTGTAACGGGGTGCCCCACCCACATCCCCAGACCAAGGGACCAGAGGCTCAGGAATCACTACGGTAATAACAGTAATTTCAGATTTGTACAACTCTTCAGCATTTCAAAGACTTTCTCTCGACATTTAGTACTAATTTATAGGTACATTGATTAAAGGTATAATCTTCCCCAGCGGTTCAGCAGACTTCAAATGTAGAGGGCTAAATGACTTGCCCTGGGCTGCATCACCGTGGAACAGTCTAGAAAACACGCTCACATTGTTTAGATACTAGAAGGAAAAAAGGAAAAAAGGGAAAGAATAAGGAAACGTGCATTCCGAGTCCTTCCCGAGGACAGTGGAGTCCTACCAGTGCAGAATGAAAACGGCCGTCTGCACGCTGACCGCCAGGCTCCTGGGACTGCAGCTCCAGCCACCTCATCTGCTGCTCCCCCTGCTGGGCCCCAGGGAGGGGCACTGGCCTCTCACCCTCCAGGTGGCTCACAGCCCACAGGTCCTTAGAAGTGGCTCCCGGCCTGGCCACCTGTTGTCCCTCCCACCCTGTTACATAGTCTAGTCTCCCTGGCTCTTATTTCTCCTTATTTGCTTCTTGTGGTTTTTTCCACTAAATGCACACGTTTCTGTTTTGTGCACTAAAATGTGTCCAGCATACAGCAGGCACTCAATAAATACCAGATGAATGAATGCATTCCAGGTGCCTTACACATACAAAGTGTGAGGGAAGTCTTTTTAGTTTCTTTCTCAGTTTTTTCATGCATTCTAAGCACATATGAAAAACATGTAGTAAGCAGCTGTGGGAAACAGCCCTGACCATGGACCTAGCACATGCCCAGTGCCTGAGCTCGAGAGTGTACCAAGGACCTGGGCAGGTCCTGCAGGCAGCACCAGCCTGCAGCGAGTACCTGGGGAGAGAGATGAATGAGGCGGATGAGCAGGAGGAGTGAGGTGGCCCAGGTGCAGGCACCTGGGGCAGGAGGGGAAGGGGGCAGGAGGTGATGCTGATGGGGACGCAGGGAGGGCACTGCACGTGGCAGTGAGCAACTCACGTTCCTGCCCCAGGAGACCTGGAGCCGATCAGAGAGAGTGCAGATCAGGCCTGAATTCAGGAGGGCGCTGGTGGAGTGACCCAGAGAGAAACTGACGTGCAATGATGAGGACCTGAATTAAGGCCATGGTTTGGGGCTGGGAGCTGGGGACTCAAGATTCAGCCAGAAAGGGAGACTTTTAATAAACTATTCTAAAAGTTATGTGGACCACCCAGTCCAGGCATTTGAAGGGTGCATGTGGGCTGGGTGCACTGTGCCCCCAGGCTCGGCTGTGGAAACCTTTCCAAGGCAACAAGTGCTTCTACCCCAAATGCAGCGAGGCCTGTCCTTGTACGGGTTTCACTTTTCATCAAAACAAAGCACATTCACTGAAGAAACACTAGGAGACAGAGGGCAAAAAAGAAACTGAACCTCACCTGTTAATCCCACCTTTATACCCAGGCACAATCCTTGTTAGTCAACACCTTAATTTTAACAAAATATGTGTGAAAAAAACAAACATAAATCCCTTAAAATGTAAATGTTACAAAAAGAAAAACATGGGCTGGTTCCACTTGTCTGTATTGTTTGACAAATCCCTTTTCCCCCAACTAACAACACATACAGATGTTTTCACTTCACACGCACGTACACACACGCGCACGACAGACCTCTTCTAGAGTTTTCGGTCTTTGGAAATGTTTCTGGCAGGGGAGCACTGGACACGTTCCACGGACAGAAGTGATGAAGATATTATTGCCCTGACAGGATGTCCTGCCACCCCACACAGAAAATGCCACTCAGCTAGAAAGTCATCCGAAATGTAAGGGGACGTGTGCATGGAAACAGAGTGAGTCAATTGTGATGAATGTTTCCACGTCTCCCGAGGGAAAACAAACACCACACATTTGTCCTGCAATAGCTCAGCGCGCAGCGACGCGGCGTGTTGTTGCTGGAAGTGTGAAGCTGCTAGCGCAGGCAGTCCTCCGTCAGCAGGGAACAGCTGCTACCGCAATTAGTCTCTAGAAACGAAATGAGTTCCCCACCCTGCTGCTGCATTGCTCAGCTTCACAATCAAGTGAGCACCCTAATCATTTGGGAAATAAACTGGACCCAGCCTGGCGGCGCTTGCTTTGTGGAAAGAGGGAGAAATAAACTAATACAGGTCTTTACTTCCTCTGTTCGTGCTCAGTAATGGAGCCACACAGATCGTGGCCACTCCATCTCCCTGAATAAATGTGCATTCAGACACACACCTCTGTGCCCTAGAGGGTCAGGCATGTTTGGCAACCAATCAAGAACCACAGCAACCTGCTGTAAGAAGTTAGGTACATGCTGAACACCCACGACTGCAGAGAACTGAGCTCCAAAACAGTAGTTCGTTATGGTAAGTGCTGGCTCTTAGCAAGCACGTGCCGGCTGATCTGGGGCAAAGGCATGCTTCTCCTTTATTACACACCTAAGCAGACCTGTACACAGTGAAATAGAAAATTGTATCATTTAATTCCTGTAATAACCCTATGAGCCAGGTGCTATTCCTGGATGCGCTGTTCAGCTGGGGAAGCCGAGGGCCAGGAAAGCGAAAGCAAACCGACTGTTGTTTTGCAGAAAGTAAGAAGCAGAGTTGAGATCTGAGCGAGTTCCTCCCCAGAGCCGTTCCCATTTTTCACGCCATTTCCCTGGAAGGGCAGGCCACTGGGACACGTGCAGAGTAAGTGAAATCATCTTTCTTTTCTTCCCTTCCTGATTCTTCCTGCCCTTGAATGGCCATTTCCCTCATTTTCCTCGAGATCAGTTAATACTCCTGCTGAGAAATACCACCCATACCCACCATGTTCCCAGTTCTTAAACAGTCAGCTGGTGGCCACAACAAAAGCTGATGGTCCAATGCAATAATTCTTCCTCGAGTGTGGATGACTACGAATCCCCTGGAACCTCCCACTCCAACCCAGGATGGAGGCCCTGCAGCAGAATGTGTGCACGTGTAAGAAACTCACCTCTGAAAAGGGGGTTTTGCTTGAAAACTGAAAGCCTGTCAGTTTACTTCTGAGAATCGACATGGAACAACACTGCGACGTAAGCAGGAAAGGAAACAGCACGTGGAGGCCCCTGATAAGGAGTGGGGGTGATGCTGAGACTGCTTCTGAGGCCTGTGCTGCATGTTCCTCCCTTTAGTCATTCCTACAGACCTGTACTGAGCGCCCCCTACCTGTCGGTGTGCAGAGTTCAGGCGGTGCAGGAAGGACTTGAAAACTCACATTTCCTGGTTCACTGCACTGACCACTTTAATCCATGCCTTGCCAGCCAACAAAAACTCATGAACAAAACTCCTTCCAGAATAACTGTGCAAAACACATTAATTTGATGATAAAGCATCTCAGCTACAGCCTGTTTTTTCTCTTTTTTTTAAGTATTCTCATTACATTTATTAACAAAGTGGGCAGTGAGCAGTTGTGGCAATAATTTGTAACAGGTTCCTAGGACTGTGACTTACAGGTGGCAGTTCACTCAAACCAGGGTGGCGTCACCACCCCGACGATAACACGACACGGGGATCAGGCAGGCCCTGCTGTGTGGTTCACGTGTATTTACCTGTGATGGCCTCGCAGCCACCCTACAGGGGGTGGGTGGCCATCACAGCTGACACAGTGTTTGCCACGGCTTTGTCAGAACTGGTATTTTGAAAGAAAACATTGTATACTGCACTTGGAACATACTGGATGGTCCACAGATGGGAGCTGCTATCAATGTTACCGCCATACCAGCAAATTGAGATACTCCCACTGACTCTGGTTCCCAGTGATGCATTACTTTAAATAGTAAATTAAAAACTTTGTGCCTCAGAACAGATCCATGGAAGTGGTGAGTCTGCAGGTGAGGTGCTCTCGGATGGCTGCAGGTCCTGCAGGTGCACGAAAAGACAGATTTCCTCCTGGACTAGGAGCCGGGGAGAAGAACGGCGCCTGGGGCAGGTCACGTGGGCCACCAAGCCAGCGGAGCAGCTCCAGTGGTTCAGACCACACTCAGCCCTCCCCCGAGTCACTGTGGTAACAACTTCACCGTGACATGATGGGGGCCCTTCAAGCGGGAGGAACCCCCAGGTATTAAAGGGTACCAAACATCGGCCCCAACTTTCCTGACAACAAAGACTCTTTAATCCACTTTTCCAAAGATCACTGAGTTCCATGTGTTTTCCCAGGAAACTGCTGGTCTTAATTTTCCATCTGATTCTAAGTGATCAATGATGTTTGCGAAGTCAGGAAAAGCCAGCTAAAACTGGCTACAGAGACCTTTCCTCTGAGCTGGGATGTGCTCACAAAAGATGTCACTGGCGGCAAAAAAAAAAGTGTGGCCTGAAGCCGACAAAGTGGGAAAGAGAAAACAGAAGTCAGTGGAAGGGAATCAAAAGCTGGGAGGGGAACCCATTTCCCCTGGGCTGCTCAGGGTGACTCCCCATTTCCAACGTTTGTAGCAGGTGAGATGCCTGTCACCACATTTCAGTATTGCCAGCGACAGCCAATGAGGTCACGGGGCAGCAATGACTGCTCTGAATGGAATGCCCGCGCACGAGGTGTGATGCCCCTGAATCCTCACCATCACCGGTGCACAGTGAGCACTCTTCCCGAGGGCACGCGGTAAACGGCCAAGTAGAGATGCAGACTCGTGGGACAGATGCCACAGTCTCTTCTCAAAGCCACTAAACAGCGCAGCTGATGTCATATCTGTGTTGGCTAGAGCCTCAAGAACAAACAGAAACAGTTGGCTTGGCCACAATAATGTGTTTAGCAGGAAAGAAAAAGGGAGGATGGAAGAGAACTCATTATTACTTTTTTAAAACAAATTGCCCCCAATGGATAACTACTAGGAAGTGGCGTCACTGCTTCTCGTCAACCCGTGACCTCCAGCACACTGCGCTGCCTTCCCACAGGTTCCCGGGAAAGGCGAGTCCCCGGACCCTGACAAGGACACACCATGACTTGGCAGGAGAGTGGGAGGGGGAAGGGAGGAAAGAAGGCGAAGGGCCTCCTTAAAGAACAAGTATAAATGACTCACGGGCATGGACAACAGGGGTGGGACTGACTGTGGGAGCTGGGGGGGAGGGGGGAGGGCAGGGCAGGGGAGAGCAAGGGGGGATAATTGGGATAACTGTAATAGAACAACAATACAAAAAAATAAATACATAAAAGCAAAAAAAGAGAAGGTTACAGAGGATTCAGTGAAATAAATTTTATGAAGGGTTTCACATCAAGTGCTTAATAAGTGGTACTTCCTTTCCTCCTCAACAGAGGGCAGTCTAAACACGACTGTGAATGATGGCAAACTGCCAGTGCGTGAATTGCTCAGGGCTCCTGTCTGCTGTCCTGTTAGCCATGAGCTGCGACTTACCCATGAGCCTCTTCTCCGCACTGGGCCCCTGGGTCAGCCTGTGGGTACCTTTGTCGGGACTCAAGAGTACTTTGCTGTTTCCATTCCCACTCGATACATTTTCCATGATAATTTTTATGAGTAAAAAAATAATGTCTTGCTCATTTGAAAGGGCAAAATTGAGATTTGTTTTTATTGCATATGTCTTTGACTATCACCAAGACTGAACCTATTTTGACAAGTATATGGATTTTGTTGAGACAGGACTTCTAGTTGGAAATAGGTGCTACAAAAGAAAAGCAGAAATTCCAGATAGATTATAGACATCAACTATCAGTAAGTAATGTGCATGTATGTCTGCTGATAACCTGAAGATAAGCAGAACGTGTTAATAGCTTAGCTATTTCCTATTAAGTTGCCTTTATGAGGGAAAAAGGGGGAGTCATAACTGAGGCAATTTTATTATTCACTGTTTTATTTATATACCCTTTAACATAAATGATGGACTTTCTGAGTAATTTAAGTAAATAGTACCAATAAAAAAGACTGGACATATTTACACGCATTGTTCCACTTCCTACGTTACACTTTCCACGCAAAGAACATCTTCTGTCATCTTTATAGTTCAACAAACCAGGTTTTTGCAACAAGCAATAGTATTTCCCAAAAGAGGAGATTATCAGATAAAATATTACCTGATTTGGTTTGAGAGAACAAAAGGTAAAAAGTTTTGGTGGAGTGACAGGTGGAGGCAGGAAAGACGCCACAGGACACAGACAGACCAACTCCTTTGGAAAAGAGTATCTGAAACTGTCTGGCGGACTCCGCACCTAAACATGCTTGGGGAGCCTTCCAGTGCCCGTGACGTCACGTGTTTGCTAGTTTCCAGTCCACGTGACCAAAAGGCGGGGCGGGGCAGGGCAGTGTGTGAGGACAGGCTCACTTACCGTGGCGTGGGAGATGGTCAGCATCCCGTTCTTGACGGCGCACTTCCTCCTCTGCCACACTTTGCGGATCCTGCAGAGCAAGGCAAACGCAGCTGATGTGTCTGGTTGGTGCCAGGGCACGCGGTTACACAGCATCCTGTGTGATCATCGTCACAGAACAGAACCGTCCCAAACCCCAATCCCACGGGAACCAGAACATTTTGGTTGCCTTGTGTGAGCCCAGGTGGCAGGTAATTCGGGGAAGGCATGGACGAGGATGCTCATGGCCATGTGGTTTTGAGAGTGAACATGGGAGACTAGTGGGCGCCTGACCGCAGGAGAGTGAATGCATGCGGTGTACTCATTCATGGTCACATCCACACTACAAGTTCCCTGCAGGAGCTTCAGTGAAGAAAGTGTGCGAGTACATAGACCTGCGTCGGTTTCTAAAGCATACTGTTGACTGAAACAAGCAAACTGTCTGAAGACAATTCAGGTATGATCTAGTATTGTTGGGGAAGACTCAAAACACTGCAGACACGTCATACCCAAAGTTTCTGGGGGCAAACACACGTGTGTACAAACTCACAGACGAGGCCCTGAGAGAGGTGCACCCTGCCGACAACAGACCCCTCTCCGTGCAGGAGCCTCCGGCCTGAGTTGGGGTGGTGCTAAGGTTGTAACCGTGTCTGGGACTCTCACACTTTCAAAGTTTTGATTTGATGATGCCGACAGGATGGAAATGAAGGATGGAAAGGACCACACATGAAGGATGCAAAAAGCCAAGAAAAACTAGTTTCAACTTGGAAGAGTGTTTTTTTTCCGTAAAGCTTCAGGTACAGGTGACGGACTATGGGTGGCAGTTTGACACGTGGGCGGCAGGTACAAACATGCTAGTGGAGACCCTTTCCATCAGGTGAACAGAAATGTCCAGGAACAGCATCCTCCAGGCTAGAGGCTGCACAGGCCTCCTGTTGCCATGGAAACAAACAACATCAGGGGAGACCATTTTATCTTCTCCCAGGCATTAAACACAGCATCACCTTGTGGTTCCTTTCCTTGTTAAATCATTCTCGTAACAAACCTGCCACAACGTGAACTTAAATTCAACTCCAAAGGCAGATAATACAGACTTCTTGAATATGTAACTGTTAGTTCGCTCCAAAGCCCTCACAGAAGGCAATAAAAATCTGACGCCATCTAAAGTATTGTACATAAATTGGACACACTGCTCAAAATGCCCGTCCCTTCTCCCCTAGATCTCTGTTCAGATCATTCCTTCACGTCTCCAGCTCTCTGCTCCAACATCACCTCACCAGAGTCTTCCCTGACCACTCTGTGACGGCAAGGACCAGCCCCGCCCGCACTCCTGGCCCTGTGTCCCTTGGCCTGCTTTATCTTTCTGGACAGTGCCTGTGGCCATCTCCCTCCCGTGTCCTTCTTCACTCCTCTAAAGAGAACAGAAGCTCAGACAGGACGAGGACTTTCTGTTGCTCCCGTCATGCCCAGTGCCTGCGACAGTGCCTGGTGTAGGCAGGACTCCCAGGAGATACTTGTTAAATGCAAAGTAGAATGATGAGCAAAGCTGACAGTGACCCCAGAAATTTGTAGGAGAGATAATAGCAATCTTAACAAATGAAAACCAACAAAAAAGTGGATGCTGCTTAGATAGTCAAGGAGCACATAACCACAAGCAATCAGAAAACAAGAAGCTTTTTTAAAAGAATGCCAATTATTCAAGTGAATAACTAATTGAATAAGTGAATTCCACTGATTCACTTATGGTGAAGTGGGATCATTTGTCCAAGCAGCGGGGAGAGGGCCCACGTGGCAGGACCAGAGGAGTCGAGGACACGAGATGAGACTGGGGGGAGAGGCGGGGGTGACAGCGGCTCCACGAGATGCGGAGCAGCTGAGCACTCCCGGGGGGGGGGGGCGACCTGCCACACTTTACGTTTGTTAGAAGGCTACTCCAAGTGCTGAGTAGCAATGAAAACTGGAGAAGGGGCCAAGTGAGTGACAGACCCAGAGAGACCAGTAAGGAAGGAGGCCACGAAGGTAGTCCAGGACAGATGGAGGTAGCTTAGCCTGGAGCGGGACAGCAGATGGCAAGAAACGTATTATCTCTTGTTAGAAACAGAAGGGGCTGTTGTTGAACTGCTGTGATGTAAGAGGGAAGAGAGGAGCCACAGCTGAACGCCAAGGCTGGGGTCTGGGGGGCCGGGTGGGCTCCCCGGGCAGAGAAAACCACAGTGAATAAAAGCAGAGGCAGGTGAGCAAAAGGTCAGCAAGCCACCTGCATGCTTCATGGTCTTCTCGGTTCCTGCCTCCTAACACTGCAGGTCACAACTCATAGGTGTCACGCAGGGACTAGAAAACGATGACCGCTTCTTCTAAAGACAGCAGGTTAAATCTCAGACGTACCCCAGGAAAACCAGTGTGCTGAAGGTATGAAGAGCGTGCATTAGAAAACTTTACGTGTGCTTTCCTGTGTGAGAGGTGGGAAAAGCTCATGGGTGGCTAACGCTCAGGAAAGGCGCTAAGGCACACGGGGACACGAGGCTGGCCCGTACGCACCCGTCACTCTTCTTCAGCAGGTACCCCTTCTTCTCACTGCCGTACTCCTTATTGCCCTGGAGCTGGTGCATGCTGTAGCCCGCCTGCCGGCTCTGAGAGTCCTGGGAAAGATGAAGCGCAGATCACACATGTGCTGGGGACACGTCTCAAGTGCCTGACTCTGTTCTGCCACTGAGTAGGGGCCCGTCGGTGCGGGGCTAAGAATTACGGAACTTTAAGAGCAGTCAGGTCCTTGCCTTCATTTTAGAGGAGGAACTCGAGTAGGTAAATGACTGCCAGAGTCACAAGCAAGTTCAAGGCAGACCTGGGCTCTGGGGCCTGGGGTCCAGGCCTCCTGCTTCTAGTTCAGAGACCAGCTCCACTTGGAACCCCGCAGGGGAGACTATTCTCTTCCCAAACCAGTCCACACGGGCAAGCACGGGAAGGGCTGCAAAAATGGAAGCAGACGGCAAAACCAAAGCTCATGCAACCTGAAAACGAGGGCTCTCCCCTTCGGCACACCCTTTGCCCCCTCACATATTCCGCTGAAGCACCCGCAATAAAAGTGCACCTTCTGAGTAAGGTGTTAAGAACTGCTATAAGACTCTTGTTTTGTAGCTAACTCGTGCTCTGCACAGTATACCTGTAACCATGCTTTCTATTCAAAATGGTGAGTCTATTCCAGGGACAAGTGTATTATGTAATGAAAAGGGTGACGAGGACCAACAGAGCCACACAGATGCCAAGAAGCCTGACTCAGCGCCGGCACTCCACGACACCTCCCACTGTGCGCAAAGGCCACTCGACCGACAGCCACGGCTGGCGGGGTGGAGGGAGCAATCTAATCACAGGGAGCTGTTCGAGGAGACAGGGGCTTCAGACACGGACATCGGACAACACATTCTCAGACAAAGTGATGACTTACTCTCCTAGACTTCGATCAGGAAGGGCGAAAGCAACAGAGAGAAAAGGCAGAACATTTGAAAATACAGTTAATTTCATTGACAGTCTTATTGCTCATAACTTAAGCACTTTTTACTAACACAGAGAAAACATCGTTGTAAAGATAATATTAAAACACACACACAGATATTTAGAACCATGATAAACTTTGGCACAATGAAATGTCTGTGTTACTGAAGTTTTATTTCAGGTCATTCAAGCGAGAAGGGAGAAAAGGCTGAAGGGAGGACCGGGGCGCATGTCTCCCCCAGTAACATGGCTGACAAGCCTTAGAAAATCTAAAAGAAGCCACACATTTCGGGCAGTTTCTTTTTGTTTTGTTTTTCTGAGCAAAGGGAATACAAATCTCCAGTTCGTAGCAACACCTGCAGTGTGGACGTGAAGAGGCAGGGTGCCCCGCAGCCGCTGGCTGCTGCTGCGGCGGGTGTGCAGCCTGCTCCCGGGCAGCATGGCCGCTTTGTGGCCTTCGGGTAGGACCATGGCCCTTCACGGCCGTTCTACACATGCTGGGTTCTGTGCTCCAGAGCATGACCCTGAGTGCCTCCCATCCAGGCACCGGGGAGGTACTGGGGATACAGACTGGGACGCTACCGTCTCTGAGGTGGACACTCGGTCACCACTCACTGTCCCCTCTTATTGAGCAGGCGGAGAGAGCCGATGCACCTTTCCAGGCAGCTGAGTCTATACTACACAGGCCACAGACTACAGTGTCTTAACCTCAGCCATTTCTGTCTTTAACCAGCCAGACTGCCTCTAGCTGAAACACAGCAGGCCCAGGGCCTTGAGTGCCAAGGTAACCGCCTGGCGCTCCCTCCCTGACAGGTGCTCCCTTGCTTTCTGGAGGGAGGCCTAAGGGACAGGCAGAGGGCAGCCTTCCTCCCTCTACCAGTGCCTCCAGGGACAGCCCTGGTAACAACGGTGAAGACACAGGTGGCTCTTCCGAAGGAGGCAGCGATGTGTCCGTAACACTGACAAAGAACAGTCAGGAGGGAGCCGGATGGGGGTGGGGAGAGCCAAGGCCTGGGCCGAAACATGAGGCCAGACACCGAAACCCATGATGTTGTTGGCCTGAACCCAACGAACGGCGTCGGTGTCGCTCAGCTACCCATTTGGACCCGGGGGTCTTCGTCACGGCTCTGCCTCCACGCCATGAAGGACAAAATCTAAACTCTCCTGGGATAGCAATCCTCATTAAAAGCAGGTCTGTCTTTGTTGGAACCTTTTCCATTGAACTAAACTTCTCTTCGATGGCCCACGTGATTCCTGGTCTGTTGGAATACTTTAAAAGTATGCCTCTCTGACCTTAATCCATTTGTTAACCTTTAAAATAAACTATGTTTCGAGAATAAAAGTCCTCATACATTTAACAAGAATTTAGATGTTGATAACTTAGCAAAACTCTTATATTCTGTAAATGTACTAGTAAGACATTCCTTACATATATTTATTAGAAGCCTCAATAATCTCTACATTCTAAATAACAAAGAGATTGAATGGGCTTTGCTTTATATCACAGATGCTTTGAAAGGTAAAGAAAATGGCTGAACTCTAGACTGTGACCTCAAAAGGCTATTCCATTAAATCAAAGAAGGAGGAAGCAATATATTTCAGAAGTCTAGCATCAACAATCCTAAATTAACTACTGATAAATTTTATGGTGTAATAAAATCACATAAATTGTTATTTCTGCAGTTTAAGAAAAAAATGGTCATTCAGCTTGTGTAGCATGGCACTCCAGATAAATGAAAACAGGGTTTTCTTTTCCGAGAATGTAAATTTTGGAGAACTGTTAACGCTAAAATAATTAAAAACAAAATAAAAGTGAAGAAATGAAATAGGTTCAGAATCCTTTGCCAGCATAATAAAAATCAACATGTATTCAGGAAAGAGAAATGCAAATGAAAATATCATTCAGGCGAAGTAATACAAAACTAAACTTCAACAATGAACTTACAACCTTGGGGAAATTCCGTGATGGGAGCCAACAATCATAAGCTGCAGAATAAAACTATGGCATTATTTTTTAGTTCAATTTCCCATTCTCTATTAGCAGCACAAATTACCTGGCTTTCTTATTAGAAAACCTTATAATGCATTATTAAGGAGAAAAGTCTCAGACCTTTTAAAACTGTAAGCAATTACACACTCACTGATTTAACGGGGTTATAAATGTTTCTGGCACCCAATCTAAAGCTAAACCTCAATTAGAGATGCTTCCAGCCTCTAATGGAAGGTATGAACGAAGCGGGCACAGGAGTCCCTCTGTTACCTCTCGCTAAATATTTATGGAGTAGCTTGTGTGTGCCCGGAGATGTGCCAGGCACAGAGAAGAGCGGTGGCACCACCCAGCATCTATCAAATGAACTGCAGGTGCAGGACAATGGGCTGTTGGGAGAGACTCACACACAGAGCTGGGACCTTCGCAATGATCTATGGACATCACTTTTAAAATAAAACATTTTCAATCCAGAAAAGTTACATAGCAGAGAATTTCAGGGAGGTTAGGCTATTATAAAAGCTTAAGATAATCAGTTCCACAGAATATCTGCCACAAAGCAATAAAGAGTTTTGTACTGGTGATAAAAAAAAGTGAGTCTACCCAAAATCTGGAGGTCCGATTTATAGCTCGCATTCCCGAAGCTTCCTTGCATGCTCCATGCAAGAGCCAAGTTGGAACCTGGATGGTGGGGGTGAGTGAGGCTGTTCAATGATTTCCTGGGCGCCTTGCTTTCCCGGGTCATGCTTAGAGGACTTCACACCCTCCTGCAATTCTAGAGTGATGGTGAGAAATCTCTGGCCACAGCCTCCTTTCATATTTAACTACCCTCATTAAAAATCACTACCCTCTCGTGTGTATTGCAATGAGACATGATAGACAGCACGAGAATGGACAAGGCCGTGAAAGATCAATTTTACTTGCAAAATACTCTAGACACGGTGCTAACAAAAACGCACCATTTATTAATCTGGCATGAAGTTAAAATCAATCAAGCCATGTGCACTTCCACACGTACACACTCCTTTCGCTTGTACACAACTTTGTCTTTTAGCTACCAGCATGAGCAGAACAGACTGGTCTCCATGCAAAACAAAGGAACTATAATAGTTTCCTTTTTTTTTTCCCAAGAAAACTTCCATACATAGGAAGGAAGTAATCCTACGTGACAAAACAAAGGTAGGAAGTGGTTAAATATATACCAGTCAGTGTGAAACCTTACAAATTTCTCCCCACACAGATCGACCTCTCCTCCCCACAATCTGGATCTGTCTATGGCTCTGGTGCGGAGCAATCATTCAAGGAGACCACTTCTAGGACTTACACACCAACAACAAACACCCTCAAGGAGACTTCCGAGGCGGGTGCAGATGCTGGCTGGGGCTCTGCATGACATGGGTGCACCCATCAACCCGGCCGCCCCCGGCCACAGGTTAGCAGAGGCCCTGCATTAAAGGGCTGGGCTTCTCCCGCTTCACAAACCCAACACGAGTGTGACAACCGGGAGCAGCGGAGGAGGAGGCTGCAGCCACTCGGTAGAGCGCCTTCAGGGCCGCCGCACGGGACTCGGGACTGCTGGGCCTCCCCTGTTGGAGGGGGTTGCTTTGTTGTTCGGTGTGCCTGGCTTCATTTACACTTGTGGACCCCTTTCAAAAATTTTAGAACTTTATACACAGTCTGCCATTGTGAGTTAGTATTATGAGGAATTAAAAATGTAAATATTGCGTTTAGATTATACTTAAACTCAATGCATAATACTCTCATAGTATAAATAGACCCATTTTCACCTTCTCCTATGTAACAATTGGTGCTATTTAATTTACCCTTAGCGCGAATTCCGTACCGTTTGGGGAGCATTCAAGGTGCTCCCTTGTCAGGCCTGAGTTTTCACGCCAGACATCGCATCTCACGCTTCCATGCACCTTACCCCAAAGTGTCACCGACTGAAGATGACAGGCAGTTTTGTACCCGAGTCTTTTTGGCTTCTTCTCTCCCAATAGCTCTGTTACGGCATCCACACCACTTTCGGTAGTTGCTCATTCATACGCCCGACTCCCTACTTTCTACCAGGTGATGACCCCCTTCACGAAAGGACTAATGCTTTCTGCCTAGCACAGTTGCTGGAGCATAGCAGGCACTAATTACATGTCTGAACAACAACTGAACAAATGAGATTTATAATTAAGGGTCTGTGTGTGGTCACCTAACACCTACCACGCTGCCTAGATTCCATCTCAATGTCCATGGACTCTTTCACCTTCCTTTTCCTAACGGGGTGTGGTGGGGGAGGAATGGGCAAAACTTCTGTAGGATTCTGCCTCAGACCAGTTCCCTATTTCTCTGGCAAAACGAGACAGGCCCTTGGCTTTGGCTGCCTGGAAAGAGAGACGAGCTGAAGAGGACAGAAGTGTGCCCGTCACCGCCTCTCCTTCTGTGGTCGGAGAGCGCACACTCCTGAAACACTCGTCAGCAAAGCCAGGATAAAAAGTCTCGCTGTGGAACTGTAGATGGGGCTCGGGGCACCTTTTCTAGAAGATGGGAAGAGAACAAACACACAGGTTCCGCCCTGGGCAATGGGGTAGGTGCACACTTGTATCTTTCCCCACAACCACCCTGGTGGGAAGCTGTCAACGTCCCCATCGGGCAGAGGGGGCAACACCAAAGCCATGGCCATGGGCCAGCGTGTGCGGTCAGCCCTGCTGAAAATACAGAGCACCTACTTCTTTCTGATCAAGTTGAAGAGAGGATTTGATTAAGTCTCGGAGTGCAGTGAGCTGTTTCTTCTCTTCATCCTGGGTCTGTTTTATCTAACGAAAGAAAAAAATGACTGCTGTCACCATCTATTATACACCGACAGACTTTAATTCACCCAAATACAGCACTCATCAAACAATCAATGACGTGGTACATTTCTTGACGCAAATCCTTCACATGGTCTCATTTTTGATATGAGAAGCACACTTTCCTTACCTTAGGAAGGTACCACTGAGTTTCGAAATGAGCGAATAATGCGATATACTGTCTGATTAAATAACACACCAAGGCTAGATAATTACCTCGAAAGTTCCACTCTAAACCAAGTTAAGAAATAACACTGAGTCACTTGGTTCTGCTTTTTCAGAAGGCGGCGGTGAGAACACCATGACGGGGTAAGGCACCGGCAGAGGGCTCTAAGGACCAAAGCCGAAGGGCCCCCGGGTGTGGGACGGTTCGCTGAGTACCTCCATGAGGGCAAAGGACTGTTGCTTTTTTTAAACACTTGGAACTTAATCACAACCAGAAGCATGTTAACTATTGAAAGAAAATAAGAAAAAATACACAGCTACATACTTTTAAAGTTATATAAAGATACAGGGTATTAATTGTAACTCTAAAACCGCACTTGAGCATACACAGTTGCACTCATAAAACACACTTTTAATATTATTCATTGCCAAGTGGTTTATGGGAATTGAGGTTGACATTTATATATATCTGCATTTAGGTTTTTTTCCTCATAAGTTTTCCTTTTGATTTTGTAATATAAAAGCAAAACCAAGGTATTAGGAAAAAAGAGAGGAACTATAAAACAAGCAAGCCAAAAAAAATCATAAACCCGCCTACTTGGCGACAGTCCCCTGATTTTTATCCTGTCGCCATCCAACGCGCACGATGCCACTGAAGCCTGCAGTCATCTAGAACCAGCCGTGACACTCTCCTCCCCCTCCCTGCTGGCTCCCAGAACACCCTCTGGAACATCCCGTCGCTGACGACGTCTCAGAGAGAAACGGAAGGCTTCTCTCTCTCTAGGTTGATTCTGACACATCACCGAACTGGTCTTCTTTTCTTGAATACTCTCCTAACACAAATTTCACATTTACTGGTACTTTGCTACAAAAAGCGAGTTAACATGCATGTCTTTTAACAAAGAACTTACATTATATAAATCAGCAGCCAGTTTTTCAATGTACTGTTTCAGTTTATCAGCCGTTTTCAAGCCATCTTGAAAGAAACTACAATGGAAAACATCGGAGATTTACCAGTGGTATAAAAAAAGAAATGAACCATAATTACCTGGAAACCCCACAACACTTACATACGTGCTCTCTACCACGTGTCTACACAGAATACATCTAAAACGAACGTCGGTATTTCACAGACACACCAACAGTGCATGTGGCCACCACTGACGGGCTAGTGGACACCGCACGGAGGATGCAAATCACAGTCGCTGCCCCAACACCGCGGCTGCGTTGTGAGCAGGCCCATCTGCACCCAGAACAGCTCCTCCCCATTGTGCCTCATTTGAATTAAAAAAGAGAGAAAGGCACCTTAACCAGTGGGGTACCATGGAGTCCAACTGGACACTCAAAGGAGGGAGAGGATGGACCCGAAAAGAGAGGCCGGAGAAAAGTCAGCGTTCGTCAGTCCCCCAAGGGTCCCTGTGCCCCAGCACACACGGGAAACACAGGACGCCGATGGACCTGGAAAAGCTGTGTCCAACCACGAGTGTGAGAAGGTCACCTTAGGACCCCTGATCGGTAACACGCACTGACACTGGTTGAACATCCATGGCGTGCCCAACACGCTCCGCACTTCACACGAGTTAGCACAGGTTCTCCTCATAATGACCCTGTTGCGTTAATGAGCGCTTCAATCACATCGCCACGTTAAAGGGGAAACTGAGGCACGGAGTGAGCACATAGCTTGCCCGGGTCACTCACACCACTGTGAGCGGCAGAAATGGGATCCGAGTCTGGGTTCTGATTCCGACAGTCCTGCGCTTACCGACACCCAAGTGGACATTTCCTGCCTGCACGCGTCCACTCAGTAGCCCCTGTGTTTCAGTGTCTGGAACTTTCTCTACTGTGTGGAAAGCAGCCTCCCCCACAGGTGACCTCTCACACACTTTATCTGCGCTGCTGCCGCCCCACGAAAGGACAGGATGGATGAGGACGAGGACTCTCACCTGCGTATCCCATTGGGCCCGGCACAGAGCGATGCTCACTCAGTTACTGGTTAGAGTGAAGCATGCCGAGAATTTTTAGGGAACCAATTGGGACCCATATACCTATGTTTAGCTTAATTTGTACAGTCAGTGGTAACTCTACAACAACATCCGAAGTGGCCGTCAGAGTAATTACTGAAATCCCCAAGTTTGCAAATTCTTTAAGATTCACGTCTTCGGCAGAGAATGCTTATGAGGAAGAGAAACACTCTCTTAAGAAAGCTGTTCGGCGACAGGGACGAGAGAAGAGAGGGCTTTTTGGTTAACTATTTAACTGGGAAGCCGCGCTTAGACCCTCGTCTCTGACATCCAGGCTTTCGTCGTCGCCTACGGGGATGAAAGTCACACCCGGTGCGGGACTGAGTGACATTTATTGTATGTTCTGGCCCGGAACAGCTTTCTGGTTTTATCCCCCACCATTTCCCTTAGAACTCTGGGCTCCGGCCACGCTGCCTTAGTTCCAGCTGCTGCCCTGGCCTTCCCCGCTGCCCCTCCCTGCCGAACTCTCTAGTCACCTTGCTGCTCAGCTCACTGGCAACCTCCCCAAGCAGCTTTCCCTAGTCTTGCCGGTCAAGGGCTTGGCATCTTTAAACCCGTGCCCAGGCCCAGGTACCAGCCCTACAGCAGCCGGCAAGGTTCTGCACGGAGCAGGCCATCCATAAGCCTGTCACAGGTGTCTCACACGGTCACCCATCCCCGGGGCAGAGCACGTCCTCCTTAGAACCAGCATCTCCTACATCGGGGAAATATGGCTGCCAGTTAATCACAGCAAAACCAACTGTTTTCTGATACTGCACTTCAGTCATTTCTGGGGAGGGGCTCTGAAGGCAGGACACTTCGGCGTTAGATGGACACTGTCAGGACCTCTCACACCAGGGAAAGGAAGGGCTGCGTGGTCAGAGGCTGGAGGCCAGGACCTGGGCACGCCATTTCACATCTGTATCCAAGGGGGCGAACCGTACAGCTAACACATATGAAACCACTCAGCAAAGTGCTGCGTAGTTAGGATGTGCTTGGTAAATGGTGGTTTTCTTCACCGAAAACTGCGTAAGTTTATTATATGAGGACTTATTTCCTTCCCAGAGGGATAGAGATTCTTTGAAGATATTTTTGTAAGGGTGTTTCATTTTCACTTTCAACATGAAGGGAATTTAATCATGTTTTTTTAAAAAAGGGAGTTTAAGTGAAAATGCTCTAGATCTGTTTTCCAATATAATGTTTGCCACCGGTCATATGCAATTAATTTAAATAAATTTAACATTCAGTTCAATTGTCATGTGGCTTGTGGGTACCATGTTACACAGCAAAAAATATCAACATTTCCATGCTTGCAGAAAATTCTATTGGACATAAAGAATAAGCAAGCTGCTATTTAAACAGCACATAAGAAATGTTATAAAACATATATTTTAAGGAGAAAAAGGTCACTGTTTTAGTTTGTGGGGGCACTGATAAAAATAGTTATTTTTTGGTGGTTAAAGCAAGCAGAAAGAGGAACCAATTCCTACCTCCAAAAGACTGAGAAAAAACCCAAAGGAGCTGGGACCCCCTTGCTCCTCAGGGGGCATTTCTGTAGCCGAGATAGCTTTCCTGATTTTTATCTAACACGCATGTGGGTGGGACCAGCCTGTTCCCCATCTCTGTCCTTACTACCTGTCTTGATGTGGCTTCTTTAATTCCCGAGTTGTAGGGCTTCCACTCAGTCAGATTGCAGGCGGTTCTGGGTGATGGTTGTCCTGTAGTTTAGCTGTAATTCTGAGTGGCTGTGGGAGTAAGTGAGGACTGTGTTTACCTGCGCCACCATCTTGGCCAGAAGTGTCCGCATTCTCACCAATATTAATTTTGTTATGTTGTCATTGTTGCTTTTAATTCTAGCCATCCTGGTGGGTGCGAAGTGGTGACTGAATTGTGGTTTCGATTGGCATTTACCTAGTGACTAATGTTTGGCATTTTGGTTCATGAGCTTTTTGGCCATTTGTGTATATATATATATTTTTTAAGAAATGGCTAGTCAAAGTCTTGGCTCGTTTTAAAACTGGGTTATCTTTTTGTTGTTGAATTGTAAAAGTCATTTATACATTCTGGACACTAAACCTCTATTTGGTAAGATAAATGATTTCCACATTTTCTTCCATTTTGTGGAATGTTCATTCACTTTCTTCATAGCGTTCCTTTCACTTGCAGAAGCGTCAGATTGAAGTCCTATTTATTTATTTATTTTCCTTTGTTTTCTTGGGCTTTGTCTGTTTTGACACATTTTTATTGCACATCTTTAAAATGAATGATATGGCTTTGAGCAAACTACTCATCCTTTCTGAGCTACAATTTCCTGATTGCTCTTGATACCTGTTAACTATTATCATCCGTAAAATGAAGGAAAATAATGTTTGTAAGTGCTCTTTACTCTGCAGATCATAATGATACTTGCGAGGTGGTAAAGGAGTGGGTGATCACTAGGGTAATATGTTTGTTTTGAAAGCAGCATGTTATTGAAAGTGAAGAGTAATTGGTGTGGGTGAGCCATAATGGGTAACAGAAAATCAGAAGCTCTTCTCTTCTGCTCCTCTTTTTCCCCGTTCTAGCTGCTGCATTCCCAAGGTACCATGACTGCATGAGGGGCCACCGGAGCACAGGTGCTCTCGAGCACCACCTAACTTCGTACTGGAAATCATTTTGGGGACAGGAATAAGTACTCAGAATATGAACCTCTCTCTTTTTAATCTAAGTGGATGCTTTACTAAGCGGAGGCCCACTGTATGTCTATGAAGCGTGTGAAGGCTTGACGGAAGCAGGAGAGGGTAACAGTGGTCCTCAAATGAAAGCAACACTGGCTTCCTGCTGTGATGAAGTCCTTGAGGTTCTACCAGGGGCTGGCCAAGGTCGAATCTCGTTATAACCCAGTTCTGCTACTGGATGTCTTTGAGCACCTCTGCCTGCAGCAGGTTTTCTCTGGGCAGGGCTGCCTTCCACTGGTACCTCTCACCCTGGGGTCCAAGTCCAACCCCAAGTGCCACCACCTCCTTCAAGGAGCCTTCCTTAGTCTCTGTGGCCCCACGTCTCTCCTTCTCCTGATGCCCCTTGTTATCAGTCACTTCCTAGCTCCATTATGATCACCGATGAACCTGACTTACTTCCTGTCCAGGTAATTCACTCCCGAGGGCAGAGGCTCAGTTTCATCTCTACCCCAGAACCTAGCAAAGTCCCTGGCTTCTGTTAAGAGATTAATAAATTATTTCTGGGAAGGGAAAAGTCAAGAATAAAGAGAAGGTGAGTTAGCCAAATAGGTTGGAGTTGCTCTTTTTTCTCCACACTTGTTAACAAAGGCATGTATCTATCTATCTCCAACCATCTTACATTTTGGGAAACTTGTTTACGTAGCTTAAACCCTCCTCTGCGGATTGAGAATTTGCGATCAAGAGATTTCTAAAATCAACTGAAATCAGAGTTGCTGCCAAAGTGTCATAATTCAGAAGACTAAGAAATTCACTCATTTCTGGAAATGTTTCAAAGCAATGTTTCTAGGAAAACTAAAATTGAGGGAAGATGAAAACCTTCTCCCTGAACTAAAATCAGGGACCACCACACACATTTCAAGGTTCAACAACACCCCCCGCCCACTACACTAGGAAGCCTAAGGTTAGTCCAGGTCTTCAGAATGGGGCTTTCAGAGGCAAATTTATCTTATAAGCATGAAATTGTTTCCTCTGTAATATATTATTTTTTATATCTGAAACACATTTATACAAGGTGGAAGGTACTTTGAAAGAAAAAAAAAGTTAAATCATTTTATACAAATACTAATTTGATGATTAAAAAGCTTTACCAGAAGAGAAGCCTGTATTACGAAGCCCGTGAATGAATGATTTTTAGCCACTTTGAGTCATCTCAGCAGCAAACACACTCATGTAGCAAGCACTGGGCTGAGCATTCCACGTGTCTTCTTATCTCGTGTAATTCGCACATCCTCCCAAACCCGAGGTAGGTCTATGAACATTAACCCCATTTGACAGAGGAGGGTACTGAGGTTTAGAGAAGCACCTGGTAAAGGTCACATGGTGGCCTAACTGCAGAGGCAGGATCTGAACCCAACTGTCTGTCTGACTCAGGCCTTGTGCGTTTCCCATGCTGTTAATGCTGATCTCCTTGAATGTTTCACTTGAATGCAAAGATCTTCCTGCATATAACGTCAGTAAAAGGATTAAGTGAGCTTATCAAAGGAACCATAAATTTTAACACTTTGGAGAGTATGTATCCTGTCTAGTCCTAATGAACGACTTTTATGTTACTCCACTCATAAATATGAGAGCTGCCTGCACAAGTCACTGATGAACAGAAAACCATGACTACGGAAGACAATGCTACTTCCTAGCACTTGGCTGTGGAAGGCCATTCTATCACCGACAGTGACCAAATAAAGGCCAGGAAGAAGGAAGGAGGCTGGAAGAAGGGTCCTCCTTGAGTTCTCAATCACGACGACAGCAGTCCACTTACTTGCACTGTGCGTGATAATACTTGATAAGGTTCTGCAGCAGATCCACGCCCTTTTTGGTCTTGATTTCATTCACTTTAATGAGATACTGTGGAAAGAAAGCAGAATTGGGTGCTGACCATTACAGACAGGGCTCTTCAGTCATGGTTGTGGGTGGCAGACCCCCGATCGTGAATCTGCACTGGTCCCTGTGCCTCAGCTGTCTTCAGACGGGGCGAGCGTGATTTAGGGAGTGCTGCTCGGGCACAGGCACAGGTGCACGGAACTAATGGTCAGCGTGTTAGCGTTTACAAATGCTCGAGATTAGTTTGTTAGACGACCGGCAATCAAACACAGCAAAGCATTCTGGGATAATTAATTTCTGTCCTCTGCTGCAGTGGCTCTCAAACTTAGAGTTCACGTGGTAAGACCTGAAAGATGGCTCATTCTTAGTAGAAAACAAGTAAGACAGCATTCTCTCTAAGGAATATGCTGTAAGGTGTTAAAACTTTTATTTTTTAAAGATTTTACTTATTTATTTTCAGAGGGAGGGGAGGCTAGGGAGAGACAGGGAGAGCAACGTTGATGTGGGAGAGAAACAGCAACTGTTTGTCCTCTTGCACACCCCCAACTGGGGACCTGGCCGGCAACCCAGGTATGTGCCCTGACCGGGAATCGAACCTGCGATCTTTCAGTTTACAGGCTGGCATTCAATCCACTGAGCCACACCAGCCAGGGCATGTATTAAAACTTTTAGACCACAGAGGTGAATTAGAAAGAATGTCTGCTACTGAAAATAAAAGAATAAAAACCACGCACTATTACTTTATGCACTAAACAGCAGGGGCTCTGATTCTGACAACTGGCCCAGGTTTTTATTATTTGCTTATTGAAACCGTTTGTTCTTGTTTCATTGTGTGGCAGTGTTCCCAAGCAGACCATCCCTAGAAAGAGGCAAAAGGTTATGTAGGGGGAGCAGTGGAGAAAAAAATTAAGGAAGAAAAACTTAAAACAGTGTCAGCCTTCTGACACTGAGCGCTGGTCTGTAGGTCACGGGCGCTGGCGTTCAATGGGAACACGGTGTGAGAGCCACTGCTCACAGTCTAAGGCAGCATGCTGTTCACGGCATTTTTCTCACGAACCCACAGACTTTCTTAACAACCACTTCCTTTAAGCTTTCATTCAAACTGGACATGTAGTTAAAACGAACAAACACACACACACAAAACATGCTCTAAACCTGTCCCAGGAAAACCTAATATTCACCAGGGTTACCGCTCACCATTTTTTTTTTCCCACACTCATTCACAAGCAACACTGAAGTTCTCACCAAAGAATCCTGTTGGGGCTTAAAGAGCCCCATAGGCCCCAGGCTCAAAATATGAGACAACAGTGACATGGATGATCCCAAAGGCTTGGAGAAAAACGAGATTAGAATCCTTCAGTAAGAGTTCCCTCCTCTAATCATCAAACACAGTCTGCTTTTAGGCATGAAAACTGCCGACTCGCAGGAGGGATCAGAGTTAAGGAGACTCTAGGCCAACGGCTGAAAGGCCTGCTCTTACTTCACACATCTGGAGCTGGAAGAGGCGCCGCTCCTTCTCCATCTCCTCGGCGATCTCGGCCCCCGTGATCTCCGTGCGGATCATGCCGTGCTGTTTCGCATGCTCTCTCTTCTCCTTCTCAATTTTTGTACTGTAATTAAAGCAGGCATCACCGTTAACATACACACACGCACGGGTCTGTCCTTCGGCGAAAACCACTCGACTGTTTCTTAATTACTACAGGTGAGGTGCAGGCACGGGTGGGCTGGCAACAGCCATCGGCAGCAGAAGTCTAAGTTCAAAGAGAACAAACACCCTGACTGGATTTCCACCTAGTAAGCTTCTCACATTTAACTTTGATCTCACACAGGATGGATTTACACAAATGCTTACATTTTGGTTGGCACAAAGAAATTCTGACAGTTTACTTTTTCTCGGGTAAGTACTTTATGATGAAAAGAATCAGAGAGTTAAAGAACTGAGGCATATTTTGATTTTCAACAGATGACTTAGAATTATTTCAAGACAAAGTACATAGCGGGTCTTTGTGGGCATGCACGGAAATTAGTCAAAGGCAACTGCCAATATGCCTGTGAACTTGGGCTGTTTCCATATCCCAGTAACACAGTTTAATCATCCATCAGCCCAGCACTGGATTGTACAAAGGAAGGACTGGGAGGAATCCAAATCTCCAACTTGGAATCTATGAAACCTTCCTCAGTGGGGGGGGGGGGGGGCGAGAATGATAAGAAAGAAGAGGCCCCCCACTAAAACCTACAGGACTTGAGGCTAATGCTCAGCTATGGCGGGGGATACTCTGGTAGTAACGCCAAGGGCCACAGTCCTCTCTCCAAAAATCCAACAGCTTCTAATTTCAGAAGCAGCCTGTAATTTCCAGCTGTGACCACAAAAACTGACTTACCCTTCAAGTCTTCCTTTAAATTATGGTGTTGGAAAGTCAGCCCCAGCGAAAGCCACACTCCATGCCCATACACAGACAGTGGAAAAACCAACCCACCGACCCGGTCAGTGGGAACCTGTTACAGTTGTGGCTGGGCTTCACACTGACACTCTAACGCTGTCCCGAAGCAAGTCTTCCGCCCTGCCACCTCGACCGTCACACCGGCGTGACGCACAGGATTTTACCAGAAAGAAAATAAACCTTGGCTCTCTCCCCACTGGCGTGGGTGGGAGAAGCAGCAAGAAGCTACAAACACTGGAGAAAAAACATGAGGGGCAGGCAAAACTTAAGAGTAATAACAGACTTCCCAGTTAGCATGGTGACTTGATCACCTGTGTTTATTTCTCCTTTGTTTAGCAACCCTGCTAACAGGACAGGAAAGTCATTAAAAAAGTGTCACGTTCCAACGACAAGAACTGGAGACAAAAAAGGATGAGAGAATTCTACAAATGACTGAAAGAGCAGGCAGAAAAAGAGGAAGCCTGCGCCCCAAATGATAGGCTCCTTGCCCACCTGGCCCGTGTAGCTTCCGGAAAGAAAGTTGTTACATACGATCACTAGACAGGGGGCTGCGACAGATGACAGGCCCGTAGATGTGACATTTAGAACAGCCCTGAAAGAGAAGCTGTCTTGACATCCTAAAGCTTAAAATCTAAAAAGGCAGCTCACTCTCTTCTTGACAAGCCCTGCTGATGGGCATGAGCTTCAGTCCACGTCTGGGAGCCTTGCTCTGAAGTGTGAATAGGCAGCCAAGGACCGTAAGATAATTGAAAAAAGGCTCCAAAATGAAAGTGAGAAATCAAAATAAAAATGTCAGGGATGGCGGTGAAAGGAACCAGAGGTAACAGGGAGCAGAAAAATGTCATAAAATGTAACCAAATCCTCAGAGACCTAAAATAATCCAACTATGAAATAAGAAAAGAAACTACTATTAAATGGTGCAAAAAAAAAAAGAAAAAGAAAAAACCCAACCCAACCCAACCAAACAACCACATAAAACCCAACTAATTGAGAAAAAGAACTTTTAGAAATTTAAAATATTATAGCCTCAACTGAAACAGTGAGAAGAAAAGGCTGAAGGAATAACCTAAACTATAACACAGGGCAGAAGAGAATTTCAAGAACAATGTAGAAAGTCCAATATTCCATGAGAGGAGTTTTAAAAGAATGAGAAGATAAAAGCAGAGGAGAGGAATTACAAGAAAAAGTTTTCAGAACTGAAGAACTAAAAATTGCAAGCAGAAGGTCAGTATGCACACCGTGAAGACACTTTGTAAAACACCTTTTATGAAAAGACCTCAGCATTTCCTGACTGGAAATATCGCCACCCCTTCTCCATTGTAGAAAAATAAATGGGAATCAGAGACGCATCAGATTGTTTCATGATCTGCCACAAAGCGATGCTCTTGACACCGCGAAAGAAATTGCTTGTAAAATTATTATTATACATCAGCAGAATGAAGATAGTTTTGGGCATGCCTGAAAATTTCACCTCCCTTAGAGCTGTTCCCTGTAGGGGTATGCCAGCAAAACAGGGATTTGGGGGGGGGGGGGAAGCAGGCGCCCCTCCACTGGGGGGCAGCCCAGATGACAGCCCCTGTCGGACCTAAAAAGCTATGACAGGATGTTTCCAGGAGAGAAAGGGAGGAACTGCCAGGGAATTTCATAACCGATACAGAATCATTACGATAATACAGATCATGTATTTTCTAAACAGAAACATTATTAATAGGTGCTGGACACCTGTTGGAACAGACGAAAATTCACAAAAGATTCATGGAGAACTAAGAAAAAGCAAAAAATTGATCTTTAAGAATGAAAATTCAGCCCTGGCTGGTGTGGCTCAGTGGACTAAGTGCCAGCTTGCGAACCAAAGGGTCACCGGTTCAATCCCCAGTCAGGGTACGTGCCTGAGTTGAGGGCCAGGCCCCAAGTTGAGGGGCACGTGAAAGGCAACCACGCATTGATGTTTCTCTCCCTCTCTCCCTCCTTTCCCCTCTCTCTAAAAAGTAAATAAATAAATCTTTTTTAAAAAAGAATAGAAATTCAATCATAACACACTGCTGAAACTGACAACAGCTGTTTTTTTAATATAATTTTTTTAAAAGATTTTTTTACTTATTTTTTTTCTGTAACTCAAAGTCAAATCAATCCGACTCCATTAAATACACATATGTTTCATTCTTTCCCTCCTGTACCGGTTTATGTCAGTGAGAAAGAGGCCTATCTTGGGAAAGTAATTGGTGACAGAGGCTCATTAAAAACAAAAGCAAAACCCAAATCTTCCGGAAGAGGCCCTCCAATCCGGACCCACTCAACTCCCTATTCCTGTTCTACATTTCCAGGCCCCGGTGACTCCCTTACTCCTTCACTAATACTCCCTATGCTACAACCACATGCCAATGACTCCGATGGGCACTGGGAGAGGCAATTAACACCACACACAGGGACCACGTGGGCACTGTCCTCACAGAGTTCAGATTCTAGGGGACAGTACAGACAAGAGAACAGACGAGTCATGTGTCATTTGATAGAGGAGCTGTGAATGGCACCTGGATCACCCGAGAACACTTAGTGTTGTGTGACAGTCACAACACAGACCAGCAGACACTTCAAGGTCTTCAGACGACACACGGATCTGTGTGCGGATACAGCAGTAGCACCAGTACCTGCAGCACTTTAGCTGTGACAAAGCATGTATCCTGTCCTATTGCTCCTACGTCCCACAGAGGAGATAGGGTCCACAGCGAGTCTAAAGCAAAAGTTTTCCCCCTGTTTTGTGGACCCCACCCCTGCATAACTGCTTAGTTCTGTTTGGTCCAAGTGCATGCAGGCGCCTCTGGGCGGGGCAGTACTTGGTCACGAGCATGAGCATTCACAACAGAGAACAGAGACGAGCTGGCCCACAGCCTTCGTCCGCATCGGCTCACCATTGTAAGGGCCTTTTTGTTCTCAGCTGCATTTATAACTGCCGATGCACAAAAGTGTTTCTGAGACAGGACTCCAACAACGCACTTGCTACGCAAGCCTTTACGAAAGTAGTTTGGGGGAAGAACGCTTAATCTTGAATTTTTCTTTTGATTTTGTTTTCATTTTGCTGTTACTGCCACCTACGGAAATGCCTTTTTATTCTCTTATGTTTATAATTATAGAGTTTTCGGCCAAGATTTTTATTAAATGCTTTAAAGTACATTTCTCCTCCTACCCCAGCCCACAGCCTGGTGTTACAAGCTTGTTGGGACAACGATGACGATGAAGAAATGCGCTACGAGCCGGAACGGTGTGGAGATGGGCCAGGCTGGCCTCTCAGCCCTCACACGCACGCACTAACAAACTCGTTGTCCAGAAGATGCAAGCGAAGGGCTCTGTCCTTTTCTTAGTCATTCTTTTTCTTAGGAAACTCACAATAATTATTAAAAGAAAACAAAAACAAAAACAGAAAACAAAACCACACAAAAACTTACAACTTTGTCTCATAATCTTTCCAGGCTTTGTCGAATGGCTTCTTGAGATCCTGAGAAAACAGAAAGTGAAATTGAAATTGAATGTACCGTTGTTTAAAGGCGAGTCAATAATTTTCAAACAATGTCTTAGCAAAAATGTTTTCCTTTAAAGGATGCTTGAAACTTAACATGAGATACTTGTATGCACATCACACTATTATCATTACAGATGAGAGGCCTGAGAGAGCGGGAAGGGCGAGTGCCCTGGTCACATGGGTGGTGCGGGACCCCACTGGGCCCAGGGACAGACTCCGCCCCACCCACCCAGGCTCCTGATGGTCCTCAAAGTGTCTGACCGAGTTCCTCAGTCAGTAACATTATGGAAAGTGGGACATCTTTCCCAGTGATCATCTTCCAATGACATTTTTTATGCTAAAAGGGTTCAGAGTGCCTTTTAAATACAAGCACCACTATGATCTCAAAACTAAAAAAAAAAAAAATCAATCCTTTCAAGTTGCAGTGGAAATCAAATTTCTGCACACTTACTCCTTTGACTCCCTTCAGGTCTCCCTTTAACAAGGAATCCAAAGTGAAGATCACATTGTGGTTCAGACCCTGGAGCTGGAAGACAAGCAGAGGGGCCAGGCGGTTAGAAGAGAAAGTGCGCTTAGAGCCGCGAGCCTGGCTGATGCTGCTGAGCACATCCCGCTCCCCAGGCGTCAGGGCTTCCCCCGCCTCCCCCGTGGGAGCAACCCTTCCCCCGCTCGCCCCTGAGGCCCCACCCCATCTCTTCCTTTTTATATTCTTTCCTGGCATTTATCAGATCTACAATCTTCTGCTCTGTCTACACATGTTTAGTCTCCCTGACCAGAATGCAAGCTTGGGACTGTTCTGCTCACAACAGCAGCCTCAGTGCCCACATTTCACGAAAAAGACAGGTATTCACAGTGGATAGAGTGTGGGCTGTGAAGCAAAGGGTCACAGGTTCGATTCCCAGTCAGGGTACATGCTTGGGTTGCAGGCCTGTTCCCAGGGAGGGACACATGAGAGGCAACCACACACAGATGTTTCTCTCTCTCTCTCTTTCTCCCTCCCTTCCCCTCTCTAAAAATAAATAAAAATCTTAAAAAAAAAACCCTGATGAGCAAAAAGATAAAAAAAAAAAGGTATTCAGGAAGTGGCATCTACTGCTGGGGTGCTGGGTTTTTCATGGTTCTGAGCCAGTGGCCTGGGTCGCTTTGATTTTAAGATGGTAGGACAAGGAGTCTACAGAGGAGAGAGATGAAGCTGCTACCCAGTGGAAAGAAGGGCGGCTGGGAAACCAAGGGAAGGATGCACCAGAGCCAGCAACACCGGGACTGGAAGAGTGTACAGAACAGTTTGTCTTCAAGGAGATCACGAGTACAGTAAGTCCTCAGTCAACATGGTGGGTGGGTTCCGTGACTGTAGGGGACAGGAGACAATGAAACCAAGCGCACCACAGGCTAGTTGATATCAACATGAATTAAGTTCCTGCAGCATCTCGCCAGCATCATAGCAAAACACTGTCCCAATAAACTTGGCTGTTATCTGAGGACCTGCAGCATCGTGATGAAATCGATCTTAGTAGAGCCTGAAAATAAGACTGCAGCCGCCTGCAGAGATGGGGAGGTTGGTGGGCTCGCTCACAGGGAAATAATTTTACTTATATACGAGCATCACTTGTCTGTCTGCCCATCCGTCCACCCATCATTTACCAAGTACCCGTTCTTTGACACCCTCTGTATAGGGGCGAGGGAGGCAAAGACAAATAAAACACCCCTCCTGCCTTCAGAGAGCTCGCATCCCAGGGACGGGCGCGGTCAGTACGCACCAGCACACGCTTTACCACACGGTGACATCGTGGGTTGGGTGAGAAGTGGAGGGAGACGGTGGTGTGAGAAGAACCAGCGCTGACACTCGTCAGCTTCATGTGTGTGTGACCCTCTTAATGACATCTCTAAAGTGAAGATACCCTAACCTCTCCTGATGGCTGCTGTGAAGACGGAATGAGTACAGGGAACCGGTCCACGTGGCAATGGCAGATGCAGCTCAGCCCTGGTTCAGAAAACCGCCAGCCGGCACACAGGAGTCAGGCCCACAGATCAGCTGTCCCAGGAGGATCTAGGCCTGCAGGATGTCTAGGCTGCTTTGAGGCTTGCTTTTGCTACAGCTCCCTCACCCTGAGTGAAGACAGCAAATGCTTTGAAGTAACTTCCGGAAGTCTGTGCTAAACCTCCCAAGGATGGAGTGTAACCAGTTCAACCACTTTTTCTCCTGCATTTGCAACATCCTTTTCTTTGTTATCAGTACGAAGTAATCAGCAACGTCCTTTTCTTTGTTATCTGTAAAAGGTAATCACCTAAAGTAAACCTGTGAATAATAAATGAGACCTTCCCTTGATGTAATACTCCCAAAAAGCAATAAAAGCCTGTCCAGACAAAGGTAGGGGGCTCTCTCACTCCAAGAGTGGCCACGCTGTCCCTTTTTTCCACCAGACTGCTGCAGTCTGTGTGAATTGTTCGTCACATCTGCCGTGGACACCACTGGCCGGAGTACGCATCAGATGAGTTAATGCATGTGAAGAGTGCTGGGTGCCTGCTTATTTGTAAGATCATCCGGGATTTCAAACAGGAGAAGGGTGACGTGGGAGCGGACAGGGGCCGGGCAGGGAGGCCTGCCTTTAGCCCCTCTTCTCCCGAAGCCTTTCCTATGCTTCTCACCCGGGTTTCCCACGCTTTGCAGGTCATCCCACGCCCCTGCCCTCCCTGCTCCCCAACTGCACGCACGAGTAAGTCTTTCACTGCAAGCCACCAGACAGGCTGGGTCAGAAAACCAACTTTTCCTCATCTCAAAGACAAAGAGATTCTCACCAAGACAGTTCTGTCCATGCAATTTCACCATCACCTGTACAGACAAAGCTGGCTGGCAGGCTGGCCAGCAGTGAGAGGCCAAAGATTCAGTCCATGTCCACCTGTCCAGGGCACTGATTCTCAGGGAGTGCGTTGAGAAAGAATCGTAGGTAGGACAATGCTCTGTGTCTTTCCAAGGGGCTAACATACACAGATATAGAGAATACCTAGGGTACTGAAACTTCCTGGGGGAAGTGATTAGAAGAAACTGTCTTTAAACAGGCCCCTTGGGTTGCAGGTTTGCAGATGATGATGATAACAATAATAACAACAACAACGAAGTAAGGTTGAAAAACACTGGTCTTGGATAAAGATGGGAAAATAAAGCCTAACAGGACTCATCCTCTGCCCTAGGCGAAATAACACTTTGCTCTGGGTCCCCCACCATCTCATTCCGGGAGATAAGCCCTGCACCCTGCCATGCTGTGAGCCTCAGGCCTTTGTGTGGATGGTGGGTAAGTGAGGTGGTGCCCGCCCCACCCTCCACTAATCAAGCCCATACTGACCTCTCCTTGTTCATGGAGGCATTATTTTTCTTTGAAACCCTTACCGCCCTTAGCCATTCACGTATGTACGTGTTTCCTTGCTGGCCTGCTGTGCCCCCAGTTACACGCAAGCTCTTTGAGAGTAAGGTCTGCGTGTTCGCTGGTACATTTCCAGAACTTAGAACATGGCCCGGCCCAGAGTGGCCACCTGATAAATATTTGCAGAATGAAGGAAACACAGAAGCGTGTGCTCGAGGTCCTTGCTACAGGACTGTCTACCCTGGTGGAAAGGTCACTGTTCGTCAGCAGGGGCTGATTCACAAATTATGGAAGTTCTAAGCAACCGCAGAAACGAGAAAGCTCTTATGTCTAACTTTGTAAATGCTCCCAAGACGAGTCGTTCTGAAGTGAAAGCAAAGTGTAAAACAGTGTTCACAGTGTGCGAGGACCTGTATGAAAAGGGAACAAAATATGCTGTGCGTGAATTATTTCGGAAAGGACGGAGGAAACTGCTGAGACCGGGTCCTCTGGAGACTGCACGGGCAAGGGGAGGGAAGCTTTCACTCTGTGTGTTTTTGCATTTTTAAGATTTGGTAACACGTACTATATTGTTTGTTCTTAAAAAAAGCACAAAAATTCTAGAATGAAAAGAGCGATTATAAACCAATTTTTAATGTTCAGTCACCGAAGCTGCAAATCCTTTGTGAAACGAAGCAGGAAAAAAAGCGTGACGTTACGGCCATCTTGATTTGAAGGCTGCATGAGAAAAGTGACGAGAGAAAAATTAGGCAACTCTGTGGTTAGCACCGAGCGTGGGGGCTGCGAGGAAGGCAAAGTCCCGCAAAAGCCATGGACCGACCACACAGCAAACACAGGGCACATGTCTCGGCCTCCCAGCGCCGTCCGAGGCCAGGCACGGGGCAGGCCCCGGTGAGCTGCAGATGCGCCCACGGAAAACCCCAAGAATGAAGAATTTCGCTGTGGTTATCCACACACATCCTCCGGGGGCTGATAAGAAACCAGGAAGGCAAGATGGCGTGGGTTATGAATCCAGAATCCTCCCAGTGACAAGCCTATGTGAAGAGGCCATAGGAAAACGACTTAAAAACTTACCAACTCTTCTCAACCTACTTCCCGGGAAAAAGTAGGTTCATTTTATAAAAGCTGGCAGAGGAGACTGTTTTAAATGAGAGGTGAATGGTAACGACCTGTCATTATAAAGATACAGAGATGGCAAAGAGAAGCAGACCAATTTCCAGAGGAAACTGAGAGGCAGAGCACAGTCTCCTTCACTGGAGATCTCCAAGAAGAGAGGACCCTCTCCCCCGACATTTTAAGGTGTTGCTCGGTGAGAGAGGAATCGCGTAGCTTCACAGCTGGAGGATTCTGTGATTTTCCTGTTTAAACATTGATTCTCTAGTTGTTTCAGGAACACTTCTCATGGCCTGAGCAAGACTTGCAAACTGCGGGGTCACAAAAGCATCCCGGCAGGCAGCTGCAATGCAGCCAACATCATAATGACAATGTGGGACAGACGTCCTCTCGTCCCACAGGGGACTACACCCTCACTATCTTCAATGGGTTTCGTTGGAAAGCCTTTCCAATCTACCATGTAGGTATTTCCCATTTATTTTACTAAAATTCTATCAATGCCATTCCCACGTACTCAGCTATAACCAGTTTCCTTTCCTTTCAGGATGAGGTTGAACCAGCAAGTTCTTCACGGGATTCCCCACGACAAGAGGTAAGAGACCACCTTTTAAGAAGGACGTCCTTTCCCACTTCGCTGAGCCAATGGCACCTAAAGGCCACTTTGGGACCGACGCTCAGGTGTGGTCAGCACATCTGCTTTCCAAACACACCACTGCGTGTTTCCTCCCTCACAGACGCTACTTCTCCTGCGAGTACGGATGTCAAGCCCAACCAGAAATTTGGAATATGTCAGCCGGGAGGAAGCAGAGGTCGACCTTTCACTATGCAAAAGTGACCCGTGTCAGCAAAGAAACTGTAATCAATACTGGTTTTGATTAAAATAACCATTTTTCCTTACCATTATTTAGACATTACCAGACTTGGTGAGGACTTCACAGTTTTACTCTATGGATATAAACACACACACACACACACACACACACACACACACACACACACACACACACACACCCCTCTTCTGTCCTGATTCCCACCCCCCCGAAACTTTATAGCT